CAGAAGCTCCAAGCTATGTTGTAGCTAAATAGAAACAGTGCCTTGATATGCTTTGTATTTGTTCCTGAGCTGAACTAGTGCATCGATTTCTGCGCCAGGATTGGAAAGGATCGTTTTTGGCGTTCTCCTGGCATAATTTGGTGCAACAACCATCCAAGTTTACGGGGCCCATGCAGCGTTCGTACTGGGGGAACGGTTTAAGTCGTGCAAACATGACCAGCACCTCGCTGTGACAATGCATGGGGCATGTTTCAACCAAATTCTAAGACGGCGCCTGCGCCGCTGTGCCAGTACAAATTGGGTTATGTTGTAACTTCCCTCTGGATGATGGGACTTTCCTCCTAGCCGTTGTGCCATGCAGTGATCTGACTTTTCGCCCGATGTAACTTAAGTCTTCTGCTTGTAGCTTGCATTTTGTTTTGCTGATGGATACTGATGTTCCATACAGGAAGTGAACCAGGCGGTCTTACGAATGTGTCGCCACAGTTGCCACTGCCGGAATTCTGATTTTGTCGCTTTCGAATCGTTCAGACTCTTAGAGACTATGATTTGGTGGTGACGAATCTCGAGCGCTTAAAAATCGACATTTCTATTGATGAATTCTTTTTGAGATATGTGCAGCAAGGGCATGTGGTTGAGCGTCCTCCCCTCACAGATGTACTTAGTGATTGCAATGCCAGGTTAAACGTTACCAATGAGACATACTTTCAGACGGAGGTGCCTGGTGTAATGTGCAGTGACAGCTTTGTGAACAGAAATGCAGGCTAGCTGTATCATCTAGTTGCTTCAGCTGCTGAGTGCTTTAGCAGGGTCTCCCAAAACAGTAGTGCTTTGTTTCCATCGTGGATATCACCGCATCATCTCTACACGACATTTGGCTGTTGGAGGTGCCAGATGCTTTTCAGCTGCCTCTTGCGGCAAAGTTGCTGGCCATGAGCTGTCCTTAGACCTTCGAACAGAACGCAGCAATTACATGAGGTTTCATATGTTTCATATGTTTCGTTGGGATTTGTCATTTATGGTCATTTCCTAATTCAAAGAACTACTTGACTCGATTTAGTAAGCGCTTTGATGGCAAATCGCCATGATTTGCGGTAGTTTTCCCAAGAATTCCTTTCGTCTTTTTACAGGTGTCCAAGGCTTGGGTCCAGATCCAATTTCAAATTTGGCCTTGGAGGCCCTGACAAAAGAGGTCCCAAAAACATAGTACATACCTCACCAAATGGAGGAATCCAGCATGTTTGCACTTTGAACAAAGCGCACATGTCTTTTTTTTTAGTTGTTTTGGGACGGAACCACGATCAGTCGGGCACGAGGACGGAAACCCAGAAAAAAAGACATCCGTAGGAAGAAGTCTTCGGCGAGGTCAAACACCGTGGATGTCATTGTAGTGGTTATGGACAGCTCCAATGGACCAGTGCAAGCAGAAGCAGTCCCCAGCATGTTTGATCCGCCGGTTCTGCCTAGCTTATGGATGTTTTGGACTCGAAGGGATGGAGATCTATTTGTTTTTGGTTCGTGTATATAATTTGTGGGAATCACATGCCAGGTCGTGCCAGAACTACTGCGAGGATTTCAAACGGTGGCGCTCACCACCAACGTGCGACAGAACCAAGGGTGTGTTGTGGTGTTTGGTGGAGTTAGTCAACACCTTAACAACCCAGAGAAATGCGGATACAGATACACTGATACATGTTCCGATTGTTCCGTTGATCCTTGCAATCCCTTCAGTGTCACCATGGAAGCAGAGCAGGCCGATTTGTTTCAATTGTCGAGGATTTGCCAGGCTGTAAAGTCATGGGCTTCTGAAGTGCAGCAGAGGTACCAATCGTGCCAACAGGTTCTTCTCTTGAGACAGGAGGCACTGCCAGTGGGCAAGGCCGTGTGTTGATAGAGCTGAATGGACTGTTCTTGTTGCAGTCCGTGGGAAACCTTTGGAGCAGGTCCAAAGAATTTGCTGCCTTCTGTGTTCAATATGTATGACTTAATATGACCGACATCGAACTAACAGCATCGCTGGAAATATCATTCCCTTTGCCTACTTGGCCCACTCCCACTTCCACTTCCAACAACAGCAACAGCAAGAAGAAGAAGAAGAAGAAGAAGAAGAAGGAGAACAAGAAGGACAGGAACAGGAACAAGAACAAGCACAAGCACAGCCACAACCACAACGACAACAAAAGAGAACGACAACGAGAACGAGAACAACCACGACCACGACCACCACAACAACGACAACGACAAACGTCGACAAGGCGACAACGGCGACAATGGCAGCAACAGCAGCAGCGACTGCAACTGCAACTATGGTTGCGATACTGCCTCCATCAAACCGATACTGGTTGGAATAAACATGAATAAATTATAAACATATGAACGTTCAAAGCAATTAACTACCCTAATACTCTTGCTTTGAATCTCCACCCATTTATATATACAAGCAGTAGATATTAGCTTTGCTTCAATTAAACTGTGCACTGAAGTCGGCAGCGTTGGCCGGCCCGGCCCAATCGTCTCAGACATCGACACCATTGCGGATCGGGCAGTGCAGATGGCAGAGATCCGTCAGCAGGCAGGGAAGACTGGACTCAAAGAAGCACAAACATTGAGCACTTAAAACGAGCCAACAAAGTGGACTTGTTTAAAGGCCATTTTGAGCACGGTGTCGCACTGTTTTCACCAAGAGTTTACTCAACTTTGCAGAAGAACGCGCGCAGTTGGTGGCCACCGAATCTCGATCAAAACAATGGGGACATCTGATTATTTATTTGTTTATTATTTTTTGTTTATTTATTTTGCTTATCTACTTTATTTACTTATTCTTTTTGCAAGAATGGACGTCGTGCGTTCTGAAGACTCTTTGTCCTGCCCCTTGAAGATGACTCCAGCTCCAGCATATTCAACATAGACATCACCTCTGGCAAAGGCATTGATGGGTGGCGGCCCTCGTCAGAGCATCTTTTTTGGCATTGGCTCGAATCAGTGTGGGCCCAAGAGTGGAATCAAGACTGAGAACGTTAGATTTTGACCCAGAACCACCTCTTAATTCTTGGTATTTGTCCATTAGTGATATTAGTGGATGCTATCCATAGTTGGATCACATGTTTTTGAGGTTACGCACAAGAATGGTGACTGTTGACAGGAACCTTATTTTCGGTTCGAAAAGTGGATCTGAAATGCCAGGACTGCTGGTGATCCCAAGAAGAAGGGGAAGGCCTGGTGCCAAGCAATTCAATCTTATGAAGAGTTTGCTTTATTTATGATCTTGATATGATTGAAAAGGTGCAGTTAACACGGATTTTTGAAACGGATCCAGAACATCATCATTCCATGAACAACTTTTTCAGAGACTTGGACGTGTCCTCAACTCTTCGAACAGATCTGTAGTCTGTAATTAAATGCCGGGGCTACTGGCTGGTGCTTGCCGGTTTTCCTTCAGATTGAGATAGTTTCCTGAGAAAACTTTGGCAAATTGGGAAGCAGTCCTACGAATGGTGGGCGTTGGCCGACAAGCCACTGGGCTAAAGAGTGTCTTCAAAGCCATGGGTTTCCACATTGGTTTGTCAGTCCAGCTCATCTGCTTTGCATGATATTTTTCTTATATGACAAGGTACATGATAGTACACGTATCTCAAAGAATAGAGACATAGGAATTTCCCATATGACGGATGTCATGAGTCTTTTTTTGTGCCTCTTTCGCAGCCACATGACTCTTTCGACGCTGCGCCGCAGATTTATTTCTGATGGTTGGCACTGACCCCTCCAGCGCTGCGGAGGGTTCTTTTGTGGACACGGGGGGGGCATCCCCTTGACCACGGCGTAACAAGCCACAGAGATCCACAGAGATCCACAGATGCTAAGCGGTTCATCGACTCTTTTCCAACAAGACGCTTAGCCGCTACGCAGCAATGCGAAGCGGCCCTTGGAATTTATATGTGGATGGAGGATATGCTCTTGTTGAATTTGAACCACCTCGGCATTTCCTTGCAACTTCAGTTTTGAGGATGTTGAACAGCTCATAACTTTGGATGTTTCGGACTGAGAGGAACACTAGATAGTGTTTCAAGTCACACTGAGAGCAGGCAATTTTAGTTTCAGTCTCATCATTTGTTGAAAGAGTAGCAAACTCGCATGCCAGCATTGCGAAGCTCGGTCGGGTTTGTGTGAAACTCGACATTTTCGTCGCTGCTGCCAAATTCCAACTTTTCGAAGATAAAAACGTGTGAGGTCGGGATATATAAGCAATTCTGGAAATTCACCAAGTGATTTTGCTTGCCAAAAACAACAAATACTGATTTTCTGAGTGTTGCTGGTCCACAGCTATGCCGTATCTTAGTTGATATCCGCTTCAAGATCTAGGGTTTTCTTTTGGCCTTCGAGTGGGATTTTGGCTTGCAATGAAGAGTTCAAGCACTTTCAGGGAGTAGTGGGATGGGAAGAGGTATCTCCATGCGAGGAGCATCTTGACTTCAATGGACTTGACAAGTCAGCCTTCCACTGAGATACATGTTGAAGCTCTAGTCAAATATGTATCTGGGTCAGATGGGTTTATGTTCTCGTCCAGCTGCGCTTTCTGATAGGCCTTTTCTTTGACGTGTTGAAGCTGCTACAAAGCATCTTCCAGCACTTGTGTGGCTCATTTGTGATTTTCTTCGCATTGACAGTAAATCTTGGTTTTTATTTGTGCATCTGTCCAAGACTCATATTATGATCTGCCCCAGCTGGTTCAAGCCAGTGTTGCTACAAAGTTGAGCGATAGGATGAAACCAAAGCAGTCTTAAGACCAAGCTTCAGAAAATCAAGTCCTTCCAATCTTCATATCCTTCCTTGCATTCTTTTCCCGTACACCTGCTAGCAGTGCGCAAACAGAAATTTTGCACTTGCGTACCTTCGCCCATCGGCTGTAGAAGTCTAGGAATCAGACCTTCGAATCTTTCTCGCCTTTCATCAGCAGCCTTGGATTCTTAATGCAAAGTCCAGCTTCCTCAAAGAAGACAAAATCTACACTGAGTTGGGCAGTTGTCACGGGCTGCAGATGATGTTTGGCAGGCTGGATCTGCAAACGGGGAGAATGGAGAATCTCATGCAATTCCTGAAGTTTTGTATCCCAATCCGCGCAACTTCATCAAGAGGTAATAGTAATAGACATATTTCTTTAAAATATATGGTTGCCATCTGGTAAATTAACTTTACCGGACGAGGGGGTGGACCAGCAACTATCAACCCATTGAAAAATCCCCCGGCCCCATGGAACAATTAACCATACTTCTATTAGCGTTTCATTTAGGGTTTATATAAGTTATACCGTTATACCACATGAACACTCCGGACTTGCCAAAAAAGTGAAAAACGGGAAAAGGCCGACACGCATGAAGTCCGTAGAGGGTTCACTTTTTTGACAGATTTTTCGAAAAAAATGACGTGGAACATAGCAACCGAAAGATGTACCAAAGTCATAAAGCACTGCGCCTGCGCAGTGAAATGAGCCTCCTTAAGACGTCTCTCATTCCGTTCCGGGCAAACCCTCAGTCCTGCCCGTAACTTTACCTGAAAAGGTCAGTTGGATTTCATGCAGCAATGATGTCTTGTCGCAAAGAATCTGTCGGTGATCTTGATATCCCTTGTCTGGGCATTCGGCAGGTGCTGTTGCATCCAGCCAGAGGATGGCCATGAGCAGGCGCCGACCGAAATCAAGATCTTTGGGCCAAGAGTTCCATTAGGAATTGAGGGTTAATATGTCGTAGATATAGATTGCGAGAAGCAAAGTATAGTACTGGCGTACCCGTTTCCAGATTTGGGGAAGCCGAAAGTTGTTTCGTGTTCATTGATCGGAAGGGTGTAAGAGCAGGGAGCCACGGGAAGACCAAAGAAACTGATTTCAGGCGGAGCCAAAAGAAATTCATGATGGTTCGCCAAAAGAACTTCATGAGATATCTCGTTCTTGTTTATAGTCTTCTGGCAAACCTGGCAGGTGTTCCACACAGCAACGCCCATGGAGTTTCCTCCTGCTGCCGGGTTGCCTGGTCAACCACACTTGTGCATCGAGCAGTCATGGAATGGTTTTGCCTTCAATGGGCGCTATCTTCAAAGACATCTGATTCTGATTCTTCTCGAAGCTTACAGATCTTACAGGCAAAAATCTGACACCGACCTTTCTATGATCCCACCCCCACTAATACTAAATATCCGAAATTGATCAAAATTGTATATTAGAGTTACCCTGATAGTCTAAACATAAACAGTATAAACACCAAATATGAGATACCCTGGTAGTCTCCTTATAGTCTCCTTATCTCCTTATAGTCTGATAGTCTGATCGTTTGGTGATCCTCTGCTGCCAGGGTGAGCGAAAGGCACTGCAGGTGCCGCCAGACTTCAGCATCCGCAGCGTGGACTCCACAGCCTCTCCAGGTGCGATATGAGTGCATCGGTTTTTCGTGGGGATGGGAGCACATTTTTTGAGGGAAGGAATACTATATATTATATATATACACATTGTATATACTATATATATACACACCATCTCTATACTGATATATATATATATATATTTATATACATATATAATATAATATGTATATATATGTATATATATGTATATAGTACACTTCAATTATTCCTCAAGATGGGGCTTCAGAATTGCTATTGGTGGGAAGCTGAGTTTGGACACCAGGTGCTGGATACATAAGTCTGAGCGAGGAGCAAAAGGCGGCAGGGAATTGGAGTCAAAGAAACATCTTTACTGTCTGGCTACTGGCTATCTGGCTATGATGGCAATCGCTTTCCGTGCCTGTTCCATCCATTAAGATGAAAATTGAACGGATTGAACCTGACATTCGGTTCAGTAAGTTCAGTATCCATCAAACTACTAGGTGAAGTCCTACCAAGAGAAGATTGCGATAGGAAACACTTTTGAAGATTGACAGGTACTGTAGATTTTTGATGATTTTTGTCCATTTTACGAAGATTTTCTGTGGGACAAGGCCAGAGAAATGACAAAGCTACAACATATGATCCGGGACTTCGTCATGGAGTTCTTGCAGGCGACTGGTTGAACCAATTGAGCCACTTCTGATCAGTTTGTGATCAGATGGGTCTGCGATAGCTTTGCATACTCTGCATACTCTGCATTTAGGGTGATGAAGACAAAACGTTGGAATCATAACTGCCTATAAACCATTCCGAATAGCCTTGCGGCTGGTGTTACTTAGCCACGCCTCGACTTTGATGTATTTTCAGTTCCAATCCTTGATATTCAAGCCGCTATTGAATCTTCTGGAATTGCCCCTTGCTACATACCACAGACTTGTCCAGCGGTTGGGTGCAAAACTAGTAAATTGACTAGTTTTGTACAAGAACACAATCTATGGATGGGTATCAAGGACAATGTAATCGACTCTATGGCACGCTACTGATTCATCTCAAACGACAATCTCCTGTTGCTGCAAGGGCGTTTTTCTGGATGCAGTGCTTGAGGATGGCTCTGTGGTACTTGATCTCAGAGCCTGAGATGGTTTTGCAAATGAGCTGATTTTGGTATGTCAATGTTGAAAAAACTTCTGCGTGCACTGGCGGCGTTTGATAGTGAGTCAGTGATACCAGCAGTTGGTTCGGTGAGTCCATGGTCACTGTGACATGAGGTTCCTTGCAGATGCGTCATGGACAGCAAGCTCTCTGTCCTTATGTTGCAGGCTGGGGAGCTTCTGTGAGCTTCTGTGAGCAATATTGCAATGAGAGGGGATGGAGGACCTTGGGTGGTTGAAAGTGTCCCTGGAAGAGTTTGATGACAGATTGATCAGATTGGCCAGAGTTTACCACTGTTTAAAATATGATGCAGAGTCATGCAGGTTGAACAGCCCTGGTATCAGGTACATTCCACAACACGGACGGTGGACTTGACAAGTATTCAGGAGAGCTGGACTCTGCAAAGTCTTCAACGAAGTTCAAGTTCGAGCTCTTGCTTGGTGCCAAAATTGCCAAAAGATGACAAAAATCTGAAGTGACACCAACAAGGGGTCGGGACATGTTAAAAAATAGAGTGACTTCAACAGCTCCTGGAAAATTTCGTGGAAAATAGCCGCTCCCTCGGTTGGATGACGTTGGGGCATGGAACAGCCTTTGTTTTGCCTGGCAGGAGATATGCTCTGGCAAAGAACTGAAGGATCTGCAGGTGCTTTGCAATTAGCGTCCAGTACTGTAAGAATACATCAAATACCAATGGAATGGGAAGATTTGGAACTTGTTGACTCCGAAATGGTGTAAATGGCGACTCGGCTAAGGCTAAAAAATTCGGAGGATGCTTTTTTAACCAAGTGGGATTTTTCACAGTTCCTTCAGTTCCTTCCCCTTCCCTTCCCAATCTTAGCTGTGTGGAATCGATAGATTCCTGGACGACCAGGTCACCACTCCCTTGGATGACCACTGCGTCACCTTGGTCATGGCAGATGATCGATGTGTCTCCTTCAGGCGCAAAAACCGTCAAGAGAGTCCAAGTCCAGCAGCGAGTCAAGACGCGTTGCTTCGTTAAGTCATCATTTTGAAGAAATTTAAATCACTTCAATATTCATGGGAATATATGGGAAATCTGTGGAAACTATGGTGATTTATGGGAAATATATGATATATGATAAATATATATATATATATGTTCCTAATTTCCTGCAATTTAGAGAGCCCATGAAATTTCCAAATGCTGTCAAGTTCAAGAAGGGTTACAATTTGAACTCAGATGGATGTTCTGCTAGCTTTTCGCGAGGTTTCCAGACAGACAGGGCCGAGAGCACTTTGCCACCTGTATGAAGGTGGGGGCCTCAAATGGGCCTGGAATCCATTGATCTGCTGCAGGATTTGAAGGGACAAACTTTATGAAACTTTGCTGTGTCAACAGATTGATTTAAGGGACAATTAAAGTCCAATCATACCGTATTGTCCAGTACTTTTTTCGGGGGTTCCTTAAAACAATTCCGGATATTGATGAGTAGGGCAATCTTTCCGGGCATGATGAGCCTGCAAACGATTGTCATGCTAAAAATCTTCTGCAAACATTGTCACGACCCCAGTGCGCTTCCAGACGGTCGTGATGTAGGCGGAAGAAAGTAGCGTGGAGAGTTTGATGAAGTTTGATGGTAGTTTGAGTTCGCAGGTATTGCGATTGGCTCTAGACTGAGCTTGCTATGAATTCGCAGCTGCATTGATTCAAAGTTGGGTCATTGCAGGTAGCATTCTGACATCTACAGAGCTGAAACTACGGAACCGTTTTTGCGTCTATTGTTTGGTTTGTTGGTGGTTACTGCTTGTTTTGCCAACAAGCAGAGACTTTCTTACAGCAATTGAAGACTGGGTGCTTGAAGGCAGTCAAGGTTCGGTCGCATACAGCAAGTTCGCCACTAGTGTTTTTTTCAAAGTGTGAACGCCTTAGCTGGGGCCAGGGCTGCCCCACCTGTGTTGTGTGACTGAGTCAGATTGAGCATGATGCTGAGCATTCAAACTGTATGGTGCAACAGTATGTATGTGATTGAACCGTCAGCCTTGAGCTCCCCATTGAATTTGCCGCGCTTGACGCGCAGCTGTTCCAATAGCCCAGCTAGATGAGAGGTTGAGATGAGTGCAGCATAGTGCGGCCAACATTGATGCAATTGATGCATATGATTCCGTGTGATATCCATAGTCTGAATTAATATGACGAAATCGTGCTGGGATGCTGTCTTGAAGCAAGTCTCCACATACTCCACCTGTGGATTCGTAGAGGCACCTCAAGAGACAGGGAAATTGGAGGAAGGACATGGAAGGACTGCTTCCGATGCAACTCATGCCCTTAGCTGCAGTGGAGTCCGTGGATGCCCAGGTGGAATTGCGGCATGACAAATCCATACGCATGACACGCATGATCGTGTTTCATCGTGTTTCACCTTTTCTCTGCACAAGGCAGCCCCTTTAGAGGGGCTGGAACCCTCAGGATCTGAGAAGTGAAACAGCAAGGATTTTTTAACACCCGTATAGTCAGTATATAGAGGTGTTTCAGACACTAAATAGTGACTAAGGACTGCCAAACTTCTGGAACTTTATCATATTCGATCCTTATTGGCATTGGATTTCCCGTTTGTGATCCCTCTATGCGAGCAACAACTTCTTTCATGCGGTCCCACAGATCTTTGACCCACACGTTGACAGGCAGACCCCTGGCAAAGCTTCAATTCTTCAGAACACTGGCCAACTGGCCATCACAAGATGCAGAACCGTATAGTACCGTATAGCGAAAAAACGCAGGACATAACTCTCTACCCTCAGGTCATCTTTTTGGTGACATGAATCGCAACGGCGGATTCAGTGGATGCACCGCTGACATCTGTCACATCCTGAACCGGAGGGAGTTCGCAAAATGAGACAAGGTCCAGGTCTTAAAAAGGTCCTCGTGTTTTTCGGTGTCCGAAATCAAGACTGTCAATCTCATAATTCTGCTTGTATCCTTTTGTTGATGCCAAAGGCACAAGACCAACTGTAGACACTTAGTAAATTCCAGATTAGATGGTTGTAAACATTTGATTAGTTAGTTTGCAAGGGCTTTTTCGTATGCACACCGTGCATATTTTCATATTCTTTGGAATGGCACCCGCAGCCTTTCGGCTGTGCATTGCAGCAGAAGAGTAGCATGAAATGCTCACATTCGAAGGACATCAATGCAGCTGGGTCATTTGGAAATAGATGAAGCCAGCCAAGCCAGGCAAAAGGCTGGCCGTTGCAAAACTCCAAAGTTTCATATTGCCTGTTTTTTTTCGACTTGCTGCATGTGTCAACAAAAACTTATCAATCATTAATCATTTGTTTGTTTATCAATCATTAATCAATATTAATCATTAACCATTCTGGAAATTAATCATTAACCATTGTGGTTCCATTTGTGGTTCGTTTCTTTGAGGACTTACCCTAGGTCCGTGAAAAGAGTCAAAGGAGTTCCAGCTGTGTTCAGATCCTTCCGAAGGTCTGCCACGGCATTGCAGGGATGCCATGGCAAGGTGGCGCTCCCTTTCGCCCTTCAGGATACAAACTGTACTTGTGCAGTTTGACATGGAATAGCCTTCACAGGTGAAATCAGTTTAAGAGTTTAAGCCACTGAAGCTTATTCCAATTTTGGCATGACGTAAAAAAACATGTTTTTGATGATTTAACTGATTTAACATGGATTTATGAATTCGATTTTGCCACAACGGCGGTGTAACGTGAGTTCCGAGGACCGTGTGGGCAAGTTCAGCTGTGCCTGAGACTAACCTCGGGCTCTTCAGCTGGGCTCCCATTGGATGTGAAAGTGACGGTTTCTGGAATTTCTCCGTGGGTAAAACCTTGAGCACCATGGCATTTCAGGAAGGTGAATGGATGTTACTACGTCATTAGATTTCAATGACTCTCGAAGTGAGAAGTACATCCATTCGCATTCTAAGGCCAACGAATCCAATGCAGGCTCACGAAGGGGAAAGGTTGGACATGCCCACCGCCCCAAAATCAGGTGATTTGTGACGCTCTTTGCTTGACTGTCCCACCCGGTATGTATTGTGTTACCTTCCTTCATTTTGTTTTCATTGCCTCCCTGAGCAGCAGTTGATCTCTGGCTTCACTTCCAAAAGTAGCAAGCTTTTCCAGCGTGCAGTGAGCTTTCACAAATGACATGTTCAAAATAGGTCCCGGCGATAGGTCCCTTACAAGGTGGTGCCCCCCCCCAGTGATGTTTGTTGGTTTATAATCCCATTAACTAGTTCGATATATCTACCATAAGTCCAAACGTGAAATTAGGGTTATGTTCACCAACTGAACGCTATCGACCGGGGGCACCACATTGATAGGTCCTTTTTGTCCCACTGTCAGCAGAGGCGGCTACGGCATCTCATGGCTCCTCCGGAGTTGTTGGAGATCGCAGAGCATCGATGCTTCAAGGGCACCTTGTATCGCTTCGAGCACATCAGCCCTGTGCATTGGCTAAGCCCGGCTGGGCAGGACGAGATAGGACGAGACATGCTTAGGCAACGTTTTGGGGACAGCTTTGAATATCTTTGAATCAGAAAGCCAGGCTCAAAGAAGTTCATAGTGAGGATTGTGATGAAGTTCAGTCTTTGCACATGCTTATGGAATCGATGATGATGATGATGATGATCATGATCACTACCGGCACGAAAGCTTCCTTAAAGATTCATGCTGACAGCCAAGGTCTTGGGCGATTGTACCATGAAACTTTCTACCTTCGTTCCAAGTGGCAAGGGCAAATTTCCAGGAGTTGCTTGGAAGAGAGGACCAGTGCAATCCGAGACCTTCGATACCTTCGATAGTGCCCCCCAAATTTGAAAAAGTGTTCACATCCACCCACTGCTCCAGCACAAAGCACTGCTAGCCCGTTGCCTGTTGTAGTTTGTTTGGCCAGAGGATAAACAGAAGAATTTGCTTGCCACTATGAAATCATGGATGCATGACTTCTATATACTTCTATGACATATGTATAGATATGTATAGATATGATTAGATATGTATAGATATGTATAGGATAGATATGTATAGATATGTATACCCTCTGGTTATTTAACATAGCCATGGAAAATGGCCCATAAAAATAGATGCTTCACCTATTAATAGCATGGTGATTTTCCATGGAAAACTGTGAGTCATAACCAGATTCGGTGATGAGGTGATTTTAGGTTTTCCACGCTCGCTGCCCTGAAGCTCCGAGGTCATTTGGCTGAGTGGCCTGACGGGGACCGATGAGTCTTTGGCGCAACGCGCCAGCAGCGCCTTGGAAGTTGCACAGGAGCTACAGCCCCTCGGCGTGAAATTTAAAGATGACCCAGCAACAAATAAATAGGGCCCTTTATAGGGTTTTAATCTGTGAAAATCAGGGATGAACATCCAAGACCAGAAGCGTTTTTTTGATGTTTTTGTAATCAGCTGAGTCTCCAGACTTGATGAAAGGCATGATTTAAGTCGCCATGACTCTGGTTACTGTATATGTGCCATTGCAGATTTCACGAAACTGGTTACTGTACGCCTTGATTGTTCACCGGGATTTTGTTCTTTGAGGCTAATTCTCATCATGCCAGATACATCCCCTCGAGGGGAAGGTGTGCCAGACGAAGATCCGAAGGCGCAAAGTGATGATTTCCTCCCATCTTTGAAACACTAAAGAACAACTGATGCGGTGTGGGTTTGCAGATTTTGTACCGTAGATGGCCAGAGTCTTCAAGTGACCTGGCGTGCAGTCGACTCGCTCAAGGCCTTTGATTTTGGAGTCGGGGCCAGCTTCTACGTGAACGCGACCACGCAAAAATACAAGTAAATTGGCTGCATTACCGTGTTTTTGGAGACTGCTCTAAGTTTGAATCTCTGTGAGTCATACGAGTCATGGCTCAAGCATTTGCCAATTGTTTTGTTACATTTTTTAACGTGTTTTGTTCCCATTTTGTTCCCAGGAAACACTACCAGATGTTGGACTACATCACCCAGGAGTTGCCCTCCATGGTGGCTGCCAAACTTCCTTTGCTGCAACATCGGCTTGGCATCATGGGTCATAGCATGGGCGGACATGGCGCACTGGTGGCTGCATTGCTGGGCAGCCCAGATAGTGGTCAGTTTACCTTATGAATAGCTATGGCCTTCACACTCCAGAGCACTGCAACTTTGCCCTCGTATTCGTGACTCAATGTTCGTTGCTCGTTATGTCGAGATCTCCTCACTGGTGAAGCCTGTGTTGCTAAGGAGATATCCGGAACTGTACCGGTCAGTGTCAGCCTTTTCACCGATCGTGCATCCCACAGAGTCGCCCTGGGGTCAGAAAGCTTTCAGCCTTTATCTGGGTCTGGAGCCAAGTAGAGCCACGCTGTTTCCTGTTTTGTACCTCCGCTCTGATGGACTGAGGTGAAGACCCAGAAAGCTGGCGCCAGTATGACACGTTGGAGCTGCTGAAGCAGTACAAAGGTCCGCCCAAGCGGCTGCTGGTGGATCAAGGTGTGCTTCCAAGATGAAGATTTGCTTCATTTTTTGGTTTAAATAATTTTGAACATTTGCAATGCATTTTTCAATCCAATCTGATATGTGTGCAGCAAAGCTTTGGGCCAAGTTGAGGCTTGGCAGATCCCTTCCTGTCGGAACAGCTGAAGCCGGGACTTCTGAAAGCCCTGTGTGACGAAAAGGGCTTGGCCCTCACCTTGCGCAACCAGCAGGAGACATCCAGCCAGTTTGGAAAATCTAGGGAATCTGGGCACGACATCGGAAGACTGTTTGAGAATTGATGGTAAAAAGTTACTGTGTACTGGCTATATCTGGCAATTGTTCCAATAAGTTTCGTGGATTTGCTTCTGGGGTCTTTCTTTCTTTCTTTCTTTCTTTTCCCTAAATAGCGTGTTTGCGAAGGAACGCGAACCTCACAGGGGCGGAGATCAAACACCGTGATGACATCACCAATTCGCAAGACATCCTTGGGCATCGCCTTGAGATATTTTAGTTATTTTTAATTACTGTTCTCTTAGATTCATTGCTGAATATCTTGAAGTTCCCCAACTTAGATACATTGGTGACACTGGCATGACTGCCATGAATCAGAACGAACGCAAAACCCTGGTGGCAGTCCAGCCATTCGCTGTGCAGGACTATGACCACTCATACTATTTCATTTCCAGTGTGGCTTCCCAGATTGTTACCGAAGAGTCTCTTCTGCGTTAAAAGAAGTGGTTGTGGTGCTCTTACTTTTTCGGAGTGGTGCGTGTCAGCATTGAATGCTGACCCTGAGTGTGGCAGTGCTTCCGGAAGTTGTAGATGAAGAGCACAGTGGTGTCAATTTTTTAAACTGCAATCTATGGATCTATGACAATTCCTACCAACAGATTCGTGACAATTCCTTGGCCGCAATTCCTTGGCCTTTTCCGTTGCTTCCACATCTTTTGGCACCTTTTTTGCAGGTTTCATCCAAGACCATCTCCAGTATCACGCCTCGTTTCTGACGGGTGTGTTGAGATGGTGCCCGGATGCCGACCATCCTTTGGCACCCTCGGTGTACTCTGTGGACCCACAAATTGAGCTGCGCGGCGGCAACCCATTGGGCAACCCATTGACGTTGGATGACGTTGGATGACGTTGGATGACGTTGGATGACGATGCCGACCAAATCTGACAAACATCACTGGATATGATTGGCTGCGGGTGATATGGACTCTGATGAAAGACATTGAAAGACACATGCCGACCTTGCTTTTTGCTGCTCCTGCTTGCTCTTGAAACAATTTCTATGTCTAGTAACCACAGTCTTGTGAGCCTTCTCGAAAAACCCGAAACTTGCGAGGTGATGGTGTTGCTAACTGAAAATGTTACGATGGTGAAAATGAAGTGGCAATGATTCAGATGAATTAATCATCATTTCATGAAATGCCACAATCCGCCTTTTACACATTTTTTTCCCAGTGGCTTTTTGCGTCCTCAGTGCCAGCATCGATACCCAGGCTGGATGGCGATGCAAATGTCACTGAAGCAACAGAGATGCCGGGGAAGGCTGGTGCACAGTGGAACTGACTTTATCACTTTGTATCAAAGCTCTGGGATGCAGTGTCAGTCTCTGGAAATTTGAAAACCATGGCGATCATGGCGCATTTCTGGCGCATTTTTAATCTTGCTGATTCAAGATGTTGAGGTTAGTTTGCAAAAGGACGAAGTTTCAAGAAAGTGGTTCTTGGATTTCTTGGCCACTGAAAACAAGTCGGATATGGCCTATGGCGACCTTTGCCTCGGGCAGGAAGAGTCCCAGCCATTCGACAGTGATGATCACCCAGATCAGAGACCGCAAGGAAGATGCGGATGGGAATTTGGCTATGGATCAATACCTATTAATACCATTTTTAGTGGGATGAACATCCATTTACCAGCTATTTTGATGTTCACCAGGGGTACAAGGTTTTGACACACTGCCATTTGATGGTAGACTGGTGTAGACTGCTGTAGACATGGTAGACTCATGAACTCTCCACAGTCTTTGTGGTTTTGCGGCCGTTGAGCTGTAAAAAAATGGCAAGCGAGAATTGTATGTCGCAGCTAGTGTTGGAGCAAGGCATAACACCAAAGATGTTGTTTTCCCCTGGTCTCTGGATATCTCTACCCTCTGGTAAACTAACGTAGCTATGGACAATCACCATTATTAATGGCTAAATCCACTATAAATGGCCATTTTCAATAGCTACGTTAAAATACCACAGGGTAGATTTAATGACAGGTTGCTCGGTTGCTCCTCCTCTTCTCCTCCGCCACTCCTCGCAGACTCTACTGCCTCGAGTCTCAGGGCACAGAGTGGCGAGCTCGCAGGTTTTTGTTGGCGACCCGAACACTATGCCAGAGATGTCAAATTGCACAAATGCCAGATAAAATAGATAAAATGTCAGATAAAATGTCAGATAGAATGTCAGATAGAATGTCAGATAGAATGTCAGAATATATTTAGATATGTCAGATCGAGTGTCGGATAGCGTGTCAGAGCATAATGTCAGAATAATCGACGTCAGATGTCGGAATATGTCAGTTGGTGGGATCACACGAAGTAATGTATTTTTTGGATTCCTGTCCGCTGCTTTTTTTTTTCCCGCACGCCTGTGCTTTGATGAATTGGAACACATTGTCAGCTCTCGAGGCTGTTTTAGAGGCGTTGAGTCAATGAGGAAGGTACCCCAGAAATGCAATGAGGGGGTCGGATACACAAAAGTCTAAGCAAAAGCAGTCACTGCAGTCTTAGCGCAACAGTCCCAGTGACACGGTGAGGGCAAAACGACTTCCTCGTAGGAGATGCGATGGATGCTGTGTCAAGCTCTGAGGTGATTGGGTGCAGGGAGATGGTTCCGGAAGCATGGTGAAAACATGGTGAAAACATGGTGAAAACATGGTGAAAACATGAGAAAATAAAGACAAGCGAAGTAATTTTGATCGAGAGTCAGCCTGGATGGCTGCCTGTGATGTCCTGGGGAAAAAAATCAGCTCAGCAGGAATATCGATGGTTCCGTTAGACACTGTGCCTGCAACTTCTGCCAGTGCTTCCATGGAGCTTCCACATGCGCCTCGCGATAGGAAACTCATCCGACTCAGAGCAGTCAGCTGGTGCTGAATAGCTCTTCCAAGGAGATCGATGCTCGGTTGAAGTGGTTGAAGTTTGCGCCAAGTAACGTGCCTTTCCTTCGCCATTTTGCAAATGATTTTAAGCGTGTAATCAAAACATAGGGAATGTTAGGGATGGGTCAAAACCTACGATACCTTGGATGTTTTGGGATGAACATCCAATTTTTTCGGCAATTTTTTGAGATGTTGACTACAGGATACCAGGGCCTGGCTTAGATTCAAGCTCGAGTAGGTTTGTCTCAAAATGCAGTATACTGTATATATACATTATATACCCCAAAATGCCAATTGGAACCGGGAACATGATTTTCTGAACATGTCTCAACATGTCTAAACCACGTTTTTCTTTTTTTTTTTGGTTACCTAATTTGGATACATTCCCAAATTCTAAGCCTCGTCTTGAAACGAGGAATGCCTTGCTGCGGTTTGCTTTGAGGAGGCTGCACTGGAGCTAATGAAGATCCAGGCAGATCCAGAATTGACCTATGTTGATGTCCATTATGTGCTAGATGCTAGTAGGATTTAATATGATTTAATAGGGTAACTAGGTACATCAAGTTAGCCCCCAAAGAAGTTTCTGAGGATATTTTACAAGGAGATCCCTTGATCATGTTGGTTTGTCTCCTTCCCAGCTTGGTTTATCCTTACGCTACTCTTTTTTCAACCAACTTTGGATGCTAAGGTTGGGTGGCTTCGATCTATCCTCTTAACGGTTAAGGGGTTTGATATCCCTGACTATTTTAAAGGCTAATGCTTCCATTGATCACCAAGGATGGTCAACCTTGCAATACCCCCTTGAAGGATGGTTATAGCTTCTTGGAAGGTTGAATATCCACATTTTCGATAGTTTACAACCATTCATATCATGCTATTTCGAAAGGTTAAAACTGTTAAAACCCCATTTTCGCCATGAACATCCCCATTTTAAGGGTTCGTATAAATGCCTCCATTGTTGAGGGTTAGATCACCAAATGTTTGCATTATTTCATGTTTAACAGCCATTCTATAATAATACCACAGTTTTTGATGGGTCAGCACTTCCATTTTTTCACATTTTGTTAGTTGGTCTCTATTGTTTGATGGTTAATACTAGTTAATACTAGTTAATACTAGTTAATACTAGTTAATACTAGTTAATATTAGTTAATACTAGTTAATATTAGTTAATACTAGTTAATACTAGTTAATACTAGTTAATATTAGTTAATATTAGTTAATACTAGTTAATATTAGTTAATACTAGTTAATACTAGTTAATACTAGTTAATACTAGTTAATACTAGTTAATACTAGTTAATATTAGTTAATACTAGTTAATATTAGTTAATACTAGTTAATACTAGTTAATACTAGTTAATATTAGTTAATACTAGTTAATATTAGTTAATACTAGTTAATACTAGTTAATACTAGTTAATATTAGTCAATATTAGTTAATACTAGTTAATACTAGTTAATACTAGTTAATACTAGTTAATACTAGTTAATATTAGTTAATACTAGTTAATATTAGTTAATACTAGTTAATACTAGTTAATACTAGTTAATATTAGTTAATACTAGCCAATACTAGCCAATACTAACATGTTCATCAATTTTTGTTCATTTTATTGGTATTTTATTGGTTATGCATGAAGTTATGAAGCACCAAATCCACTCCTTGATCCTGCCACAGGTGGCGCCGCCTGGCCCTGGAGAGTTGCGCATTCGCATCACGGCGGTGGCGCCCAGCCCACTAGATGTGGCAGGGCAGAAGGTGCCAAGCTGCGGCGATGCGGAGGGCTTTCGGTAAGGAAAAAATGCTGGGAAACCACGTGTTTTTTTTTTTCCCATCTGAGGGTTCAAGGGATCCTTTTTTTGACAGAACCGTGGGTTTTTAAAGTTTTTTTTCCCCATTTCCTAAGAATATAGAGATGGGAACATTGGGAACCCTCATGGTCTCGAAGAAATCAACTTCAACCCATTGTGGATGGGAAATGGGTGTGGCTCAAAATGACTTGACCTCGAAAATTGGATGGCTATGGATGGCTGAATTAACCGACTGACGAATTCTGTGGGTTCCTTCCAATCGGTGACAGGAACGGAGTGGTGGCCCTCGCATCCTTGGCGTCGAAGCCGCTGGTGTGGTGGAGGACGTAGGCTCGAGCCGCAAATTTTGCACTGTCACTGAGAATCCCAGTAGGATACTGACATTGTGCATATTGTGTTGGAACTGCATTCGAGGGGATGCCAACGTGCTAGCAAAGCTGATTGTGTCATATGCTCAATATATATCAATTTTTTTTTGGTCAACCACAGGAAGTTGATATGACATGTTTCATATTTGTTTCAGTAGGCATAGTAGGCATAGTATACCTGCGCAGTGCCAGGTGAGGGCGTGGAGGATTTTCGGCCGGGGGACCATGTCATCCCGTGCTGCCATGCTTCCTGTGGCCGCTGCAGCGCGTGCAGACGAGGGGACGGGCCCAACCCAACGGGATAACGGGAGTGCCGTGGGTCGATGGATTTCGATGGATTTCGTAGCTTCTTTTCACCGCAATTTTACTATTTTTACTGTTGAAAGCCAATATTGTTGAAAAAGTTAGGATCTGAGAGTTGTGGAAATGAAAATTGGAAGGCAGTACTCTTATCATCATTGTTTGCAATGTTGGCGCAAAGGAAAGCCGTCGCTCTCAGAAACCATTGAAAAGTCCGAACATCAGGTGCCACCATTTTGGGCGACCCGAATGTGCAGGACACAAACTTCTGCGAGTCCATTCAACGGTTCACAAGTGCCTTTGCTCTAGACTGGAGCTTCCCCCCATGTGGCTTCTGGATGCTTCTGGAATAATGCAGGCACTGTTGAAACACTTTAGTCTCAAGAGCTTCCAGAGCCTTAAGTTTTTCATCCAAAGCTATGCAGTTCTAGTTTGAAATATTGCTGCAGTACTACCATGCAAATCTGATTGCGTTTGATTGCATTTGTAAAGGGTCCAGGAGGATTCGCACTTCTGTCACAGAGGATTCTGGAGTCACAGCTACCACAGAAGGTCTTTCAAAGAAGGTTCCCTTTAGGAATGCATTCTTGGTCTTTCTTTTTCATACCTTCAAGGTTTGGCAAGAGCCTATGCACTTGTCCCAATGCCTAGAGTCATCAGCCGTCCTCCCTCTCCAGCCGTTCCAAGCCATCAAAGGTCGCGGTGTGATGAAAGATGATGCAATGAATTCAACGAGTTCAACTCGCTTTTCCTACGGCAGCACAGAAATCTTCCATTTTCATGGAGTCAGCACCTTTAGTGTCTGGGTCACCCAGCCAATGATTGAGAGGCTGACGGCCAAAATCAGCAAGTACTATTCCTAGGAGTACTGATACTCAAATCATGAACACTCACAATTTCAGGTCTGTCTAAGCTAAACCTTCGGAAGTTGGATAGATAAACATCCAAGTCTCACCGATTCCCTTCATGTCTCTGATGTTTAATTTTACTCGGATCCTCTAATGAGCGGAGCATACGTTTGAGCCCCAGAATCACCTCCAAAAAGTATCTAACGTGGCCTGCTGTCATACAACTGCATGTCAACTCTGCAAAGCTGAGAGAAGGACATTCATAGAAAACGATTGCTAAGAGACTTTCTCTGTGGGTGTCATCCTGTTGTTGCATCCTTTCCCAGTCTCATACAAGCACACTGGCCACTTGGCAGACTGCACGCTGAGGAGTACACAGTTGTGCACGCGGAATCTGTGGCCAAGATACGCAAGGTTTGGCTATGGAGGGGTTGTACTTTCTGGTGATTTTGTGTTGGCTTCAGAAACACGTCGACACGGATCATTTGCCAGCAAGGAGTACCTTTTTCAGCATACCAAGAGCACCTTTTTTTAACCAGCTATGGATCATCTTATCATGACAAAAACAATCACAGAATCTACCATCTGGTTATTTGTTACATAGCCATGGAAAATCCACCCATTTTTTTAGAGGTGAACCATCTATTTTTATGGGCCATCTATACCATGGCTATGTTAGTCATAACCAGAGGGTACCATCGAAAGTGCTCACGATTTCCAGTGCTGAAAATCGCAGGATGCTCCCCTCGAAAAGGTCTGCCTCTTGGGAGGTGGAGTGGCTGCAGCCCTTGGCATGGCCACTTACAATGCAAGAGTTTAGTGGTGACCAAATATGGTGGTTTTATGGTGGTTTTTATGGAGAGGAGTGGGGAGTCAGTCATAGAGTCAGTCAACGCAAAAAAAATGTGCCATGCAATGTGACAAAAAAACAGAGAGCCTTCCACTAAAAAAAACATGATGGACGCTGGTCTCAAACGAGCAAAGGCCCCCTGCCATCGTCCTGGCGAACCAAACTGCTCAAGACAAACTGAATAAATCAATAAACAGAATAAATAAGTAATTATATGTATGCCGTTAAAGGTAAAGTTAGTATGCAGTTTTGGCTTCGGGTGATGGTGGCCCGTTTGGCCCCCCCCCCACGGCCGTCGCATTCTAACTGAAGGATCGCCTGTAAATATGCAGCCAGACAGTTAGAATGCGGCAGAAAAATTGGTGAGAAAATGTATGTTTTGACTGATATTCTACAGGCGAAATGGAGTTAGAATGCGGTGGTTGAAAAATACACCAATAGCCCATGTCGCACAGTTTTTGCTGGCATATGCGCGGAAAGCCTCAGTTAGAATGCCTGCCGTTCATGGTTTGTACTCTATTGACAAGTGGGAACACGAGTTTTATACAAACGTATTAACATTATCAGCCGAACCTTCAGACAGCCTGCCAATGCCATTGGGGGAGGCTGTATGTGTGTGTATATATATATGTATGTATGTAATGTAATGTAATGGAATGGAATGGAATGGAATGGAATGGAATGTAATGGTATGTATGTAATGGTATGTATGTATGGTATGTATGGTATGTATGGTATGTATGGTATGTATGGTATGTATGGTATGTATGGTATGTATGGTATGTATGGTATGTATGGTATGTATGGTATGTATGGTATGTATGGTATGTATGGTAGGTATGGTAGGTATGGTAGGTATGGTAGGTATGGTAGGGTTGGTATGGTTGGTATGGTTGGTATGGTAGGTATGGTATGTAATGTATGTAATGTATGTAATGTATGTAATGTATGTAATGTATGTAATGTATGTAATGTATGTAATGTATGTAATGTATGTAATGTATGTAATGTATGTAATGTATGTAATGTATGTAATGTATGTAATGTATGTAATATATGTAATGTATGTAATGTATGTAATGTATGTAATGTATGTAATGTATGTAATGTATGTAATGTATGTAATGTATGTAATGTATGTAATGTATGTAATGTATGTAATGTATGAATGTATGTAATGTATGTAATGTATGTAATGTATGTAATGTATGTAATGTATGTAATGTATGTAATGTATGTAATGTATGTAATGTATGTAATGTATGTAATGTATGTAATGTATGTAATGTATGTAATGTATGTAATGTATGTAATGGATGTAATGTATGTAATGTATGTAATGTATGTAATGTATGTAATGTATGTAATGTATGTAATGTATGTAATGTATGTAATGTATGTAATGTATGTAATGTATGTAATGTATGTCATGTATGTAATGTATGTAATGTATGTCATGTATGTAATGTATGTAATGTATGTAATGTATGTCATGTATGTAATGTATGTAATGTATGTAATGTATGTAATGTATGTAATGTATGTAATGTATGTATGTAATGTATGTAATGTATGTAATGTATGTAATGTATGTAATGTATGTAATGTATGTAATGTATGTAATGTATGTAATGTATGTAATGTATATGTAATGTAATGTAATGTAGTGTATGTATGTATGGTAATGTATGTAATGTATGTAATGTATGTAATGTATGTATGTATGTAATGTATGTAATGTATGTAATGTATGTAATGTATGTAATGTATGTAATGTATGATGTATGTAATGTATGTATGATGGTATGGTATGGTATGTAATGTATGTATGTATGTATGTAATGTATGTAATGTATGTATGTATGTATGTATGTATGTATGTATGTATGTATGTATGTATGTATGTATGTATGTATGTATGTATGTATGTATGTATGTATGTATGTATGTATGTATGTATGTATGTATATATGTATATGTATATGTATATGTATATATAATATATGTAGCTTGATGAATTTTGCTGAATCGCCGCTTTCCTCCAACTTCCCACAGCTTTGCAGAACCCCAAGGTCTGGCAGGTTGCTGGGCCTTCGCCCGGCGCAGTGGGGGCGATCTTCGGCCTCAATGCGGAAGGCCTCGCTGTAGCACGGGCTTTGCACATGGCCAAAGCACGGAAGCAGCGCGGCAGCGGAAGCGTGCAGAGAGATCAAGGGGCGAGTTTGGTTCAGTTATGTTCAGTTAAAATGTCACCATATTTGAAGTATTTTGAAGTTATGTTCAGTTATGTCACCCTACAGGGTGAAGTTTGCTTTGAGCTTTTCAATGATGTTCAATGCGTTGATGGTCGTGTCTTTGGGTCCAAGATCCTTGGAGCATTGGAGTGTTAGCAGAGAAGAACATGTAGAGCATAATTCAAGAAACAGAAGCCCATGGACAGGGAAACCATCCCTTACAGTCTGACAGTGTTTCATTCCCTTGCCAGCAGGCTGAAAGGTTTACTGTAGGTGTTTATGCGTGGTTAGAAGCTCTGTGCTAAGGATCATTGCTGTGGATCCTGATCCTTCAAGGCTTGAAACCTGCTTGACTTTAGCAAATTTTTGGTTTCTCTTTGAGGATATGAATGGGATATCTGATATCATGGTCTTACATTGCTTTAAGGCTTTAAGGGGTTTCAGACCATGAAACTTGCCAACATGTTTACATTACCAGATGACCACCAAAAGTTGATCTAATTCCTCTTAGAGACCTGCATTTCTCCAAGGAGCTTGCCAAGAAGTGGGGTGCCACCAACCTCATCAATCCATACGCTCTTCCAGAGGGCTGTAGCATCAAGGAGGAGATCCTTAGAGCGGCAGCCTCTTTGCACAACTTTGAATCCCACGGCGACTAAGAGTGGGCACCGGGGACCAAAAAAAAAACAATCGTAAAAAAATCGATGTTTTTCCTGAAACCAGTTATATTAAATATTATTAAATGGGATAATCCGAAGGCTCCTTACATATGCTCCACTAATATCTCCATAATCCGCTGGGCCGAGGACGCTCCAGCCGACGTGGCCTTCGATTTGTTGGGCTATGAGGCTTCGGTGCAGGAGGCGATAACGACGCCTTGGGCGAAGAGCTTTGCGATGGAGATAACCTGTAGCGACTCGGCGATGACCAAAGTGAAAAGGCGATTTTAATGGTGAAAAAATATGGGAAAATCATGATAATTAACATTTTTTTTTTAAAAACATGATGCACCAGGAGATTTTGAGGTGTCCCCTTAGCAAGACCCATGTCGTTGTGTCATGTTGTGTCAAAATGTGTAGTGATTAATGAGAACAGCTGCACATTTCAAGGCGCAGGTTGGTGTTTGAGAGGTTTGAGTTCAAGGCTTCAGCTGACTCTGCTCATCTCAAGGTCCCTTCAATGTAACCCCGCGCTTGGCGGGAATGCGTAATGTGCCATTCGGTGGCTGGAGGCAGTGCGCACCGTTTTTGAATTGAAGGTATAGTGGGTAGTGGGCATGTCATGTTCATTTAGGGAAGGATCTGACGATCCCAAGGAATGTGAAAGAATGTGATACATTTCTCTGAAAAAACTGCGCCACTGAAATCGACTCAGTCCTTGAGGCCAAAGCTTCATCTCCCGCTACTGGTGGTATGGATCCCAGCGGGAGTCGCAAACTGAAAGCTTTGACAGGTGAAGATTTTTAGGCCGAGGCAAAGTGGATGAAGCTACTTGTAGATCTTGTAGGATCTTGTAGGTCATGATATGTCATGATGGTCGCAAACAAAGATAACAAAGTGAGAGGAACTATACCTGGGTTGTCCCTTGACGGGGCCAAGTTGCCATGCTGTTTTGGTTCTCAATGTCCGCAGGATTTGTTTATGGCTGGGGAGTTGAAGCTTGACGAGCCTCGGCCAGATGTTGGCGTGATTTGGTAACACTGATCCTGGCGCCAATTTTTGCAGTGCATTCCAGTCTCAGGACTTCATCAGCCATCAAGCCGACTTCACTGAGATTAACGAAGTTTTAAATTGTTTCGATGAGCCAGACCGCATCAGAACCGTTCTGCGCTTCTAGTTGTACAAACCTGGTTTCAGCCAATACCCCCCGTCGGAGACGCAGCCATGTTTTGTGACCCCGGGTGTCGGGAACGACCAACGCTCCTGACCGGGCGCTTTACGTGCAAAGACTGCGAAGATCTGCCACAGAAAGGGTTGCGCGCTGACATTTGGCCAGTTTTTTTCAATGGTTCTGTATTGATGATATAAACATGACATGGTAAGACGGTCTGCAGAAAGTTTACCCCAGAAAATTTACTGCTGTTACCTGTGGGGGTTCTGTTTTTTTTCATTTTTCAAGCCAGGAAATTCTTGCACTGCCATTGTTGCATTTGATTTGGATTTCAGATGCTCCAGGTCATAACGACTCTGGAAGGCAGCAGAGTCTCGTAACGACAAAAACAAATCCCTTGTTGGAGGACGCAGAGCATGCATCTGAACAATCATTTGGACCTAACAGAATAATGGAATGATGGGTAGCCCTGGGTAGCCCATTTGTTTTACAAAAGTTGTCCACCATGCTGAGAGCCATGGATGAAGAAGATACAGAGCCAATGCTAAGGCGCCAGCATATTCTTGGGCAACTTGACGGTGTTCAAAGATATCATCCTTTTGTTCTTTCAGTGCAACATATCATATCTGGTTGGTGGTTTGGAACATTTTTTCTTTTCCATAATATATGGGATAATCCTTCCCATTGGCTTTCATATTTTCCAGAGGGGTGGCTCAACCACCAACCAGATATCCTGGGTTTCCGAAATCAGTGTTTCCTTGCTTTCTCAGCTCGAAGATGCCAAATCTTAGGACTTTCTGGCCTATAGCAATAGGAGAGAACAGGATGGCCAAGCACGACTGAATGACCGACTGAACAGAGTTTATTGATTCACGTTGTATTTAGGCAATCGTCTTTATTGGACTAAGGAAACATGCGCCGTGACTGTCTGGTTGCTGTGTGGTAAGGCTGCCTTCAGCCGGTAATGGCAGCTGGAAACGCCAGGATCTCACAAGCGCAGAAGTATTGGTCAGCTGTTGAAGACGTGTTTATTTGGCTTCAAGCAACAGACAACAAGCGAAAGGATCGTGGTTCACGTTTGAAGGAACTTCATGTTCCGCATCAGTGGTGACAGCTGTACATAACTTTAACATACTTTAACCAACTGGATCAACTGGGCATTTCTTTTGGGCTGGCAAAGCCAAAGAGCATCCATTAGCGGCTAAGAGCTTGCAGGATTGCAGTCTTTCTAGTGCACTTACCACCGTGCTCCTTGTGTGAGGTTTGTATCGCAGTCAAAAAACCGAGGCTGGAGCTTGGCAGTTGCAGCTGCTGCACTGGTGACGCTTTTGCTCTGTCAGAGGCTGGAGCAAGTAGAAGACTGACCAACGTCTTCGTTCTGCTCAATGAAACATCTTGAGGAAATGCGGAGTCCAGTGCAATGCACTTCTTTAGTCCGTTTCATTTGCTTCCCTACGATTGAGCTCACTTTCACAAGGGCTTACACAATGCTGTGCCGTTTATATCCGCTGTTCTGGTCTTGGAAGGAAAATAATGACTAGGCACAGCCATGAGAAGTGTAGAGTTTGAAGCAAGTTCAGAATTTATGAGGAGATGGTCCAAAGGGAGGGAGTGAATCAAACGGCAGGAGCACATCAACAGGGCCTGCACGAAGTAAGTCTGGAAGCGAAGATCTGCAGCTGTATTCTGCCGGGTACAAAGAAGGCCAGAGCAGCTGACCATTCAAAACGCAATGTTGAGATGGTCAGGGGATGTCGCTTTGTGGATGTAATATGATTGATTAGCACGGTGGTTTGCAACTTTCCTAAACAACAGGAGGAAGCTCTGTCTAGGGACAACCTTTCGTTCGATTCATAAGATTATGAAATAAAACAATATAGAGATTTGCCGTTTGCCGTGCGCAAACAAACTGACCCAGGGAAAAGGCCAGGACTGAAATCAGGCGTGCTTTCAAACAGGCTTTTATCGGTATTTCCCGATTTGGGTTTCAAACATCACCTTTTGGTATCTTTTATACAGTGGTAAAATGTCGTGGTTCGTCCATATTCATCCCCTGGAAAGGGTGACATGATTCTCAAGGCCGCCAAGTTAACTGGGCTAGGTGTGAAGTATCGCCTGTGCAACGTGGACACAAAACAATGCCTCACGACCTCGGGCGACACTTGGCTGATGCTTTTACAGCTTGCTCGAAGATCTTTTGGAGCGTATGTCTGTGTGCTGCATATGAATTGGGAGATACCACTCCTGTCAGATAACCAGGATAACCCAAGGTGGAGATGGAGATCTGATTCCACTCGGGAGTTGTTCGGAACAATCATCACTGAATTATGGAGGGTTCATAGATTCTTCATAGCCCGGCGCTTCCTTTTCCAATATTTCAGGGTTGCCCAAAAGGTGTGTGCCAGTTGTGATGTTTTGTGCCAAGGACAGTGGGACCTTGGACTTTGCAGCCTTCAACAAGGCAGATGCCTTCCTCATTGGTGGCTCCAGGAGGGATCCCATCCCACAGAGACCCGTCTGACCGACCGTCATGTGGCCGGTGAGGACAGCGATTATTCTAAGCGACCCTGGCGACCCTTTGAAAGCGCTTTGCCTTCAGGCAACATCCAGGTGCCATGAAGTCACAATGAAGTCACAATGAAGTCCTAAAGACTGAAGACTCTCCTCTCGAAGGAATGTGGTTGTGTCACATTTTGATGCTGACTGGTGACTGCACCGTGGCCAGTCACGTGACGCTGCAGCACTGCCAGTCCAAAGCGGTCTTTCATGTGCTAGATGTGTGTGGATGCCTGGGCATGCGCTTGGAGTTGGCTTGGAATTTGCAGTAGACCAACCTTAGGTGGCAATTCAGACGGCCAATCTATGGCCTCTAGTTGATTTGGAATATTGCTGAACATTGCTGAATATCAAAATATGGATGTGCTCATTCCAGTTCGAGAGGCGACAATCTTAGCAGTTCAAGTAATCTTGTCTTGACAGCAGAACTGCCGGCCTGAGGCACATGACTGGCACCATCAGGCAATGGCTTTTAGGGGTGGTCACAAGGGTCCACAAGTTGACTAGGTACCCCAAGCACTACATTTTCAAGTTTTACATGATTCATATCTTTTTTCTGGCAGATCTTCTTGGTGCAAACTTACCAGCATTGAAATTGCTTTTGTGGCTCGAAAATACTGTCCTCCGCCGCAGGGTCTTGAGTCTTGACCATTTTTGGGAAAGCAGCAAATTCAGCGAAAGAAAAGGCCTATAAAAATATCCCCATTGATATATCCCCTTTGATATAGGATATCCCCATATGGGATATATCAAGGTTCGATGTAGTTCTTCAGCGAAAGACATCAGAGCTGATTCATCAGAGGTCAGAATCAGGACATTGCCTACAAGCTGTGAACGAAAACGGCTCCATCAAGGTTCAATGGATTGGAAGGGGGCAGCCTGCAAACAGCATGATGATGATGATCATCATCATCATCATCATCAGCATCACATCATCACCGTCACTATCACTGATCATTATATTACATATCTATACATATATAAACTTAGATGGCAAAAAAGTACAGTTCTTAGCAACAGCTCCTCAAACCTTTCAAATGGCGCTTTCTTCGTTTGTTGGTCAAGGATTATATGTATAGGGTCGGTTTTCTTTTTCCCACAGTGGATGAACCACTTTCTGAAGATTTCAGCCTCTTTCGTTGGCCACTGTTCTGTGCTTCAAAACTTCATCCCTGCAGGTGCAGCCTGGTCCGTGTATTGGTCCTGGAACCTCCTGGCTGGTGGCACCGTGGCCAAAACATGAGGAAATCCACAGTGGAGCTACGCTGATATGCTTCAGATGTAGAAAACCTGGAGATGCCGAGCCTCCAAACCAAGTGTTGCTGGATCATTTTGTGGTGTTAACTTTCGGGGTCCCAACGTTTGCAACGAAGAATTCAACACCCCGAATGACTGGAACCACTGGAACCACTGGTTCACCACATTTGAAGCAGATCTCCCGAGGGCGAAGTACCCCAGTTCTACCAAAGTGGAACTCGCTACAAGATCTGCAACACCTTCCTGAAAGACGCCTGTGTCGGTCCGTGCAAAGAACAGGCAGAGGGAATTGCGTAAAAAAATGCGCTGGATTCTGGATCGACGCTTGTAGAATCTACAATACAGCCAAATCGCACAGCCTGGAAAGTCAAGGTTTCTTCCTATGTCTCAAGTGAGCTTTCAACTGTACTCAACCATGCCAGAACTTGGTAGATGCGAAATGAATCATCCGTCGCGACAGAACAGAACAGTTGCATTTGCCCGTGGTGATTTCAGGCATGCGAGGGCAGCGAGCTCTTTTTGGCGAACAAGTCCAAAGCGGCTGAGTTTGTGATCAAGAACGTCAGGACTGAAAAAGATTGAAACGGATATGCACCACTACTGAGGCATTAATCACCATTAATATCCATTAATCACCATTAATATCCATTAATAACCGCTGATCAGAAAAAAACCCAACCGATTTCTGAAGCGTGGCCTTAGTCTGCGTTCACGATATCAGCGCAGGGACACCATGGAGGTCACCACCTTGGCGTTGGCCGAGAATCCCGAGATGTGCGTTCAAACGCAGGGCTTCGGAACCTGCAACGGGGCTTGTGCTCTTCAATCGTGCCATGGCCAAAGTAGACGCCTGGATGCCAAGTCAAGGTTAGATTAGTCACGTCAACGTCTAGCAAATTGTCCGAACCTGTCTGAATCCAGGATCCGCAGCCAGCCTTTTTTCATGAAACGGTTAGTTAGACACGGAGTTTTTGGTGAGTGAGATTTCCAGAATTTTCCAGATTTCTCAAACAGATTTCCAGAATTTTCCAGATTTCGGCCAAGGCATTCAAAGATCGTGTTTGAGAAGTGCCAGGCCACACTGCAGAATTTCTATTTGCCCTTTCCGCCTTTGTCCTATGGCCGCCTGCGGCTGGGAAGCCCAGAGACGTTACTTGAGAGTCCTTTACGGAGTCCTCGTGTTGAGTCCGTGCTACTTCGAGACTTGCAACATAAATCCAGATATACAGCCATTATCAGCCAATTAGATAAAACATGACAAAAATTAGATAAAACTTAGATAAAACATGACAAAAGACATAGAAAAACCATATCCAAGCCAAGACTCCAAGACTCCAAGACTCTGAATGCTGAGGTGGGCTATGTACGATGATCGCTGCGTCACAGCTCTTCCACCCGACAAGGCATGCTGAGGTGATGTTGGTGTGTTTCATTCCCGAAGCTAGGGTGGTACTGTGATGCCTGGTCTTGTGTCACTTTATCTTTGGACTTCAGACATGTTTTCAACATGCTGCATAGATCTGCATAGTATCTACTAGAATCTAGTGCCTTTCTATATGTGTAATGTGACAAAATAAACATTCCATTTTGACTTCGTCAAAAGTTGAAGAACTACCTGAATTCTTCTTCCATTGCAACGTCTTCCGGAACCGTTGTGTTCGCAAAGTGCATGGCAAACTTCACTGCCACAGAAATCATCCCTTGATTCCCTTGACCGAGCTGAAGTCTGCTCAGCTGCCCTCGCTGCCAGATACAAATGTTCCATTGCAACCAGAGAGCCCCCATCTTGTGGCAGCTTGTCCGGCTCCCCGGCAGTCCCAGCGACCGGAAATGCTGATCTGAGTTTCGATGACTCAATGACAAGCAGCTAGATGCAAGTCAGGGTCAGGGTATGTCAGGGTAACTTTTTTTGACATTGAGGCAATAAGAGTCAAATGGTTCCCAAATGAATCCAAATGTATACAGGATATGTTGGCAGATTCCGCAAGCAGTTTTCAGATTCCTGGTTTTCCGACTTCCGATTCCACGGAGAGAACAGCTTCGGCGAGACCTGACCAGGTCCCTTCCTGATCTCCTTGCTTTTTCATGCCCAACGGCGGTTGATGAGAGCAGTCCATGGGCGGAAAAAGATAAGATGTTCTGGGGACAATGTGATAAATTCCTCCTGCCTCCTACCACTCATATGAAAAGGTTGGATTTGCTGGCAACAGGTGTTCGGTGATGATAATCCATATCCTCCACGCATTGTTTGTTCAGAGGTTCTTGACTTAGTTCCTCTACACATACTATTCCATCGTTTGACATAGTTGATTTGAAGCGAATTCTGATTCCGTCGTTTCATCTCAAGCTCTGCTCCCACTGGAAAGGGCCTGAGGCCGATTGGTGGGTACTGCTTTTCTTTGGGCTTCGAAGTGTGCCAGGGCTACAGTATTCCGCAGGTGCTGACTACACACATTTTTTTACATATTTTTCCCCAAACAGCGTAAGCTAATGGGGTCTTCAGCCCAGAATAGCTCCGGTGTGCACTGGTGCAGGCGCCGGGTCAGGTTCAACAGGGTTTCGGAGAAGGTTCCGGAGAAGGTATCAGGAAGCCTTGTGCAAAGCCAAGTCAAGTTTAACGGGTTCCGGAGAAGGTTGCAGAAGCCAAGCCAGGTCAGATTAATTTAATTCACGGAAACCCAGCTGAGGTTTCCAGCGCTTGGCTTCGCAGCACGCTTCAGAAAGATTTGTAAAAATAAAAAACATGTGGCTGTTGGGGATACCACCGAAGCTTATTTTACGATCTACAACCAGCCAAAATCTTATACCTCATACTTCATCCAAGGTGTTTGTTTCTGGAGCTGGTATGACGCGGCAAAGTGTAGGAAGGTTTTTAAGACAACCATTGTGAAAGACAGGCAATGAGCACTTTTCCACTGGAACGTTGAATGACGTGAGCACAAAACCATCTCCTTGCATTTCGTGATCGCTTGGTGTGACTTTGGAAAGACACTGCATTTATTTGCAAGAGTTGCTATAGATTATTTGCCCGGAAGCAGACTCAGAACTCACAAGTTATATATATATATCTCCTCAAGCGCTCGAGTCCAGGCATGATTTCACATTTGCTTACCTTTCATCAGCATCCAAGTGTGGGAGACTTCACTTTTGCGACAGGGATCGCTTAAGAAGGCGATCATGGCCAAGATGCAGCAGGGCATCTCAGTGATCCAGTGTCGCTTCGACCTACTGGGGTTCAATATCCTAAGAAAACCCTGGTAGCATCCGAAATCCCAAGGTGGTTAGCTCCTCTGCTGGGAGTGGTAGCAGTACAAATCTCAGAACTGCACTACCTGCGCTTCTGAAGGCCTTAGTTATTTTGCAGCCTTTAGTAACTTTTGCAACTTTAGTAGCTCTGGCTGTGGCTCTTCCAGCGAACTTCTGATTTTCGGCCCTTTGGTTCGTCGTATCGGCTTGGACCTCAAGTGACATCAGGTCACTTTGATTGGCTCCGGCTCCTTACAGTTCGTAAGCTGGAATCTTAGCAGCTTTGATTTGTCCTCCGGGCTCTACCTATGGGTCAAAATTATGACAGACACACAGTTGTTGCCATCCATTTTTGGGGTCCACTAATTAAAAACATTTTTTTTTTTGATTTTGGGCGATCTCCACTTCTTATTACTGCAATTTACAGTATTCAGTATACATCATTATACATCTGTATACCCATACCCAACATTTTTCACCATCCATTTTGGGAGAGAATGCTCTGCTGAGGCCCACTGCCTGGACCGCATGCTCTGCGCACTGCAACGCCAGAGCTTGGAAGGCTCGGGCGGCTCGGGGTGTCGTTCAAAGTTTGTGACTCCCATCCCATGGTTGAAAACAAAAACTAGTTCCCATATGTTCCCATTAAAGTACCATACCTGGAGCTTGAAAGTGTGCAAGATTTCTGCTGTGTGCAACAACTAAAGTTTTAGTCATCTCCACCCAAAAGCGTTTTTTTTTCCAGAAAAAACGTCGTTTGCCCAGTTTGAACATTTGTTAATCAATTATGGTCGGCGTTTGGTCGGGTAAAAACACCGTTTCAAAACATAATATACATGTCTGACAGCCACGCAATTGTTGGAAAAGCGCTCGCAATCAAACATGTTCTTGGGATGGAAAAACAGCTTTACTTGAAAAAGAAGAACAGATGCAATGTTTGGAAGGTGCAGGTATATTGACGTGCCCATATTTATGTCACATGAGAATTCCAGCGGACCCAATTCCAGGCGCTCCGCTGCTGTGAACGACAGCTCCAGCTCCATTCGTGGCTGCGGCTCCGCGGTGTTGTGTGCAGCAGCGTTGGTCCTTGCGGCTGGCAAGGCCGTTGCATGGGCTGCTGATGTTTGTGTTGCAAAAACACAGAAGTGTCGAAAGATCGAAACTATGAAGAAACCCTTTGCAAGGCAAAAACCAGCAGAGTGATTGTCCATTTGGGATCCACAACACTTAGAAAGCAGGATCGAATCGTTGATCGGAAGCTGCATTTCCAGCTTTTTCTGCTTGACGGAGAAACACATTAGACTTAAGGCCTCAAGAGTATTTGCCAATAACACACAAACACATTGACATGGTTGTGTTCAAAGCAGTCGGTGACACAGCATGACCAGGGTTGAATTCATTTTGACAATCCAGGCTCAACGATCTGTGCGCAAAGTGGCCCCAAACCCGCAGGTCATTCCAGTCACTTGGATTTGCGGAAGCTGTGGACTTTTAATATTTTTAATTTTAAAAACAGGTTTGAGTGCAACTCCACAGTGTTCATTCAGTGTTCGAGCTGATGCAATTTTTCTGTGGCACTGGATCCACGGTTCCAGTGTTGTGACAGTGTCCGGTGAAACCCGGCCTTTTTCGCCAAGGTTGTTGACCTCTCCGGAAAGAAGATCGGCCGGGTGCTCAACGGCAACAAGAATGGCAGACATCGGCCAACAGCTTCAAACCGAAGGAAAGACTGTGAACCGAGAATCGTCAAATCCGACCCCAACCAATCCGTCAAATCCAACGATGGAAGTTCCTGGAAGTGACACCTGGAAGATCCTGGAAGTGTGACACCAAGGCGAAGAGGAGTTGCAATTGCAAACCTTCAGAAAGACCACCGCCAATTACGTCGTGCACCAGGCCTTGAGATTGCCATTCTGAGGTTGGACTGAGGCGAAATTTTGGTCCAAAAGGTTGCTACTGGTTGCTGTTTGAATTTTTACCCTCTGGTAATGACTAACATAGCTATGGAAAATCACCATTTTTAATGGGAAAATCCACTATAAATCTGATTTTGCCCATCATTTTGCACAATTTAAGCGTTGTTTGATGCTTGTCAAGCTGCCAAGTCACTTCTCCTGCAGAGGCTTACAGCATTTGGAAGTACCAGCAGTTTCCATTCTCAGCCTATGAGAAGCGCCGCAGCGAGACAAAGAAAGGCAGCGACCAGCCGCATGAGCGACTTTGCAAATGACCACAACGTGGTTGGACATGTTGGACTATCCAGGTCATAAAGACTCCAACTCTTTGATCGCGCAGAGCCAGCCAAACCTCAGCGCTTGGATTTTGCAATTCCTTTTCATGCACTGTCAGGCAAGAAGTTGTGGAAGAACAAGGGTGTTGGACGTGCTCGAATGGGTTCCATGTCGGCTGCCCAGGCAAACGAAAGGTTGAGTGATACCATCAAGCGGTACCATAAGTGATATATCCAGATCATTCGTCCTAAAGGCAGCTTCAGAAACGTGTATGAATGTTGTACGAAAACAGAAAGCCAGCAAGCTCAGCGAAAGAATGCTTTTGATTCTAGCTCCTATATCCGAATTGCTTCACGTACCAGACTTTATGCCAAGATGTACTAGGGTTCTCGCAAGAAGTTCACAGGTTTCATGAGTGTCGTATGCATTTATTTGCTTCAGCTCTGTCCAAGCACCTTTCTTGGTGTCAACGTGCCGTGACCTGCTGAGTTACAGCCCTCTATTTGGCAAATCAGCGACCAACAAGAACCGGCACGGCCTTGATGACAAGCGAAAAAAGAAGATCAAAAGGACGCCACCGCCACCGTTGATCGCCTGAAGATGTCTGCCACGTGCGTCCAGCTGCCACCACTCCGTTACCGCCGTTGGATCTTGTTCATCGACTGCTATCGAAAGTTGATGAATGAAACCAGCACATGATTTCTGCCATGGCTGAAAGTGAGATTGCTTCCATCTTTTTGAGATAGCTGTCCCATTGATACACTATATAAACGTATCCACATAGGCGTAATACACACAGGATTCTGTCACCATGCTACATTCGATCATATGCAAACTATATAGTCCTCTCGTGTCCTCGTAGGATCTTCTCATGGTTGAAGTGCAATAGGTTTGCGGGATGACAAGCCTAGCAACCAGCTACTCAGCTGTACTGTATGTGGTCTGCCAGGAATATGCACATGAAGGCCATCTCAACTGTGTTGCAAAGTAAGTGGCGTGTCATGAAGATCGTGGAAGGTTTGGAGGACCGGTTCGGGTTCGGCGGCTTCGGTTGGTTTGGTTGGGTTGGTTCTGTTCAGTTGCAGGCCCCAACAGACTCAGAGCCTGGGCTTTGCTGTGACTTCATGTGACTTCCGCTTGTCAGCTTTCAGGACATCCAGGAGCCCCGCTACTACGAGCTGTGCGACATGATTCGTGCCTGGACTGGCGCCAAGGTTGGGGAAAGGCGCCTTTCTTCGCGGAGAGCTTTGGGCAGTTCCACGGTGTAGACACGTACTTGGGCGATCTTCATAGAAGCTGTAGAATTCTGATGCTGGAAGGCTTAGGAATTGAGACCCATAGACCCATATTCCAAAAAGATATTCGGGAAGCTGCAGGTGAACCTCAATGTCAACAACCAAAAAAGCATCAACAAGCTATGTTCAAGTCATGTTCAGTCCTTACGGTAAACTCTGGGATCCTTTGGGATCCTTTGGGATCCTTTGTCGGAATTGAACCAAAGATCTACCGGGAGCAAAGCGTGGCAGGCAGACCTTGATGATTTCTCGCAACGGCTACGGAGAGGTTGGCCGGTATCCCCACTGCCGGTCAGTCCGCATCAATCAGCAAAGCACAGTCAAACGACACACTATTGCAGGTGGATGCTGGAAGTTGAGTCTAAGATTCTAAGATGAGATATTTCCAATGAGATTTTTACACCGATGGGATTGTGACAATGTCGGGAAGCTGCCTTAATGTGGGATCCAAGCATTGGAAGTGCAAGAAGGTTTTCAGTCTGGGCCGAAATTGGATTGAAAAACCTCAGCACTGGATGAGTGTGTGGTAGAGCTTTCCGTCAAATGGAATCCGTTGAAGAAAGTTGCAACACGCAACGGCACTGGTGCTCTCCTAGGCACGGATTGAACACTTGGCATAATGATTAGATCCTCGATGCTGCGCAGACTTTTCCAGGAACACACCCACAAGTGCGTGCCACGAGCCTTCAGCTACAAGAGCGCTGGGATGGGGGATGATTTGGATGACTTGGCCTGGGCCAAGTGATGCTTCTCCGGGTCTTTTCATTCAAACTTAAACTGAATCATCTTCAATCACTTATTGGTCAAGATGGTCAAGGTCTAAAACTGATGTAGCACTACAACCTTTGGCTCCACCGTTTTCACCGCCAATTTGCGCATCGTTTGTCACGTTCTTTTGTCAGGAGCCCAATCTACATGGCAGGACGTCTGATTGACAACTTCTCCATGAGGCGTCCCCGTGCCTTGGCAGATCTTGGGACAGGTCGAAGTAGATTTCTACGGTCTTGGGGTCTTCAGCCCAGAATAGCTCCGGTGTGCACTGGTGCAGGCACCGGGTCAAGTTCAACGAGGTTCCGGAGAAGGTTCCGAAGGTTCCCGAGAAGGTCTGGGATTTTTTGCAGAGACAGGTCAGGTTCAACAGGGTTCCGAGCCTTGGTGCAAAGCCAAGTCAGGTTCAACGGGTCCCGGAGAAGGTTGCTGAGAAGGTCCCAGAGAAGGTTTTGGGAATCTTTGGTGCAGGGCCAGATCAGTTCAACAGGGTTTCGGGGAAGGTTCCGGAGAAGGTCTGGGAGGCTTTGGTGCAGAGCCAGGTCACGTGCAACAGGGTTCCGGAGAAGGTTCCTCTTTGGTGCAGGGCCATGTCAGGTTCCAACAGGTTCAAAGGGTTTCCAGCGCTTGGTTTCGCAGCACGCTTCAGAAAGATTTGTAAAAATAAAACGTTGCGGCTGTTGGGGATACCACCGAAGCTTATTTTCATGAATTCTTCTTTTCTTGCTTTATTGAATTGACTTTCTTGACAGTGGGGTTGGAGGAGTTTGTCTTTGTAAGTTATCGTTCTGGACTTCTGTAGTCTTGCTCTTCGTTCTGAGGTGATATGGATGCCGAAAGCGATGGGTTGTACCAGGCGTTGATTGGAAGAAAGATCATTGTCTCCCGGGAGGCATTCTTCGATCTGAAGGCGCCCCAAGTAGGAAAATTGGGAGGGAAATTGGATGAAATTTGGATCATCTGAGATAAGACGACATGGAAACAACTTTTTCAAAAGTACCTGTTGTCACACGTTCGACTTGTATCACTTGCCGGTTTGTATTGTCACAGCTTCATGCTTGGACGATGCGTCACGCCCTTCTGTGCTTCAGCATGGGTTTGAGGCCAAATTTGATGCCTATGATGGCAACTTGGAAGAGAAGAAGTGTGCAATGGTCGGCCGAGTTGTTTCCCACGACATAAGTATCTACCCACTTTGAATAAGCTCCCCGAAATCTTGCATGAAAATAAAGTATTTGGACCATGCTCTGTGCAGTTCATTTTTAGCAGCTGCTCTTGTGGTGGAGGCATCTCGTTTTCTTTACCAAAAGAGTGTCCAACCAAGCTCTGGTGTTTTGTGCAACAAAAAGGGGCAAACTTTCACCCTGTCATGGACCAAGGATGGGCCTTCAAGTCTCCCACCGAGATTCTGGTAGATCAGATGCAGACATTGGTGGAGGTGACGGTTACTGGGTGAAGGGGCAGCAAATCCCTGGGGGAGCCCGAGAGGCGATTTTTTTGAGACCGAAGTGCCAACCTTCAGTTTGATAGTCAGAACAATCCGACTCACTTCTACCACATATATAGTCATGACTGTGTGATGACTGTGTCATGTAGAGAATTTCATGGAGTCTTAAGTCTTATCTCCCTTAGTCTCCTTCTGCACAGGACTATCCTTACGACCGGGCTGCGGAGTTCGAAGCTGCCAGAGAACTTCCCAGGAAGTTGGCAGAGCGTGAGTTCTGGGCCAAGGAGGCCTGCGACACAAACTGCCCAGCCGGGGGTTGAAACGTGTTGTGACGTACAGATGGTGCATGGGGCATGTGGGTCTCATGGGCGCGTGGGGCCCATGGTGGCAGCAGAATGCCAACAGAAACTATCAGAAACTGATAGATCTCGCAAATGATGCAAATGCCCCAATATGACTTCTTTTTTTTGGAGATCTCAAGATAGATTCCTGAGGATGGAACAAGAGCTGTGTGGAAAAAGAATCATTCCATTTCACTTGAACTGATGCTTTTCGCACTGGCTGCCTTAAGCCAGATATTGTGGATGTCACGGATTTCTCTTTTCTGTAACTGTAACTTTTTAAAAATCGTTTTATGAGATGACCAACCCGCCCCCTTTTCGCCCAGACATCTTTTGTTTCTGTGCTCAGATCCGCGAGAAGCAAGCAGAAGATGCCGTGAAGGGCGGCGATTGAGAGCGAAGTTGGAGTCGTTGTGCAAAAGCGGTGGCTGAAGCTTCCTTGGGGATGATCTCGATAGTTCTGCTTTTATGCAAGGTTTTTTTTTCGTGAATCTAAATCAAATCAGCATAGTGGGCAAATGAAATTTTGCTGAAATGAAGCTTGGTCATTGCATTCCTCAACATTGTGATATGCAGACAAACTACTTGTAGTAAAATGCTGCAAACTTTCAAGTGACGTCATCTCTCACGATCCGAGGGCGCCCAGAAAGACTTTGTACTGCAAGGACGACAAAGTCCACTTTTTTATTCCGGCTGGGTCGATATGTATGTAGCATTTTTAAGCGTATTTCTTCAAGAAATCAGGCTCAAGCCGATTTCACCCATGGCCATGACGTCACACAAGCCCGAGGTCGGCTTTTTTTTCGAATCCTCGAGAATGTTTTTTTCCACAGCACAAACGGGGCATTCTCTCTGGATGGGCGCTGGAAAACTGGTTGAATGCAGTTGATTTGTACCTAGAATTCTCCGCAATCCAAGAATGACAAGCTCAGTCGCTGTGCGCTTGTACCTTGACATGTGATCAACGAGTTTGCTCATGAAGAAAATCCCTCACCCTGGGTCCGTCTCCGTTCCTTTCGTTTGAGTTTGTTTTCCTCACTCTCACTTGGCTACCCCTGTTCAACGCTGCATTTGACCATGATTCATGTGGCTTTGTCCAAATGCATGATGTATGTTCTTATCGTATACCAACTCTTGGGGTGCTCCGATTGTTGGCCCCGGTCTTCTCTTGACCTTCACGATATTCAGTCACCATAGATTCAAATGCACTAGCCCCACCACCAGAGTCCGGGGCTGTGTCATTATGGACCTCTGACTTCATGCGAGTCGAGTCCAAAGATGGGGTATATACCCGCTTAATTCTCTTGTATCACACCACTTTCGCCTACTTTGACAATCAGATCTATCAGACTTGCAATCGCTTGCCGGGGGTATTCCTCCACAGGTGCGCCTAGTGCGCAGCTCCTGGCTGTTGGCCGCGGCATTGGTGCTTGGGGTTCCGTCCGGTCTCAGCTGGGGCCTTGATGCCTTGATTCGACTCGAACCGAGGCTTTCCAAGCAGTTCTCCCAAGCAGTTTGTTGCCATTTGTTGCCTTAAACTGATCGTTTTACGCAGTCTATGAATGTCTATGACAGGCGAATGTGACTTATTCATAACCTCTCGGCCATTCCGATGAATGTGAGCATCTTGAAAGGGCCAATATGGTGATGCTTCAATCTTGAGAACTCGTCGTAGTCTATTTAGATCTATTTAGCCGGACAAGTTTTTGTCTCTTGCAATTCATCAAGTAGATCTGCAGCATGACTAGCCTGTTGGTCTTAAAACATGCAGAGTTGATAGGTGTCCAACGGTGCCAGACAGCTGAGGTGCCTTTACCTCTGCGGTGAAGCTCCGGCCATTTTCACCACGGAGCCGGTGCAGTCTGGCGCCGCGGCGTGCGGAGGCCGAAGCCCGAAGCCTCTGGGAGTTGCGACTTTTCGTGAAGTCGCCGTGGAGCCTCAATCTCTGTGATGTAAGATGATGTACCCTCTGGTAATTTAACATAGCTATTGAAAATGGCCATTTTTCATGGGAAAATCCACGATTTCGACTGGGCCATTTTCAATAGCTATGTTAGTCATTACCAGAGGGTAAGATCGAATGAACCCGCAGATATGAATCAAATTGAATCAACATAAACTTAGTTTCAGGATGTTTCAGGGCTTTTGAAGGTCAAGGGAAGAAGGACATTTAGAGGCTACAGCTCGAATGAGTTTGCTGCATGTGAGCCCCAGTTCCAAGCGCAGGCTGATGATGAGGTGGGATCTGCTTACCCAGTGCTTTGGGGAATGCTTGAGGACTCGAACAAGAGTTGCGATTGGAGCGCTCTGAACAGAGGACTAACTTGTGACCCACCACATACTGCTTGTGGCCCTCTTTAGATTTGGTCAGAAATCTGCATGTGCAGAAGGGAGGCTAACGAGTTTCCGTGAGCAAAGCCCTTCTAGATTGCAAAAGCGACAAACGTGACACAGGTTTATCACATTTTCTCGCTTCCAAACTTTCAAAAATGACAGGCAAGGTTTGACAGGCTAGGGGCCGTAGGGTCTTGTACCCGGTGCTTTGCCCTGTGCGGCAGTGCTGTGGTGCTGTTGTGCTCGTATGTGCTAGTCAGTTCTGGAGGTGCAGTAGTTCTCCCTTGGAAAGAATGCCTTTGGAAGTCCATGTGTGCACAGTGGACTTTACATAAATCATACCATGAAGATTCACAAAGGAAGTGCAGGGTTCATGTCCGGAGAAAGTGACGTCGCGCTTCTAGCATAGTCTTTGCACAGGTGGTAGATGTGGAAGTCGAGGGTGATGACGAGGAGGAGGAGGAGGAGGAAGAAGTGGAAGCGGAGCCGCTTGGCTAACTTGTGATGCTTGGTTTATGACGAAGTCAAATGCTCAAACTATGTAAAACTTCATGGACAAGCGCTGGCAAGAGTCTCATCAAGAACAGCCAGCCCTCGTGGGTCAGTTTGCAGTTTTTTTGGGCAGAAGGAACCTGGACTTTTGGACGACTTGTTTGTTGAAAGGCCTGAAGTGAAATCGGTGCTGGATAGTGGCAGCAACAGGCGTGGTTGAACATGAAGAATCAATTTAGGCTATTCCTATACAGTCCCGGGGATCAGCTTATGGAGTCTCTCCAGCGGACCGTCGTTGATCTGGAGAAGCTTGCGCACATCGTTTTTCACAGGGACGGGGCAAGATTCGACATGGGTCACAGACATGATCTGGAGCTGTCTATATAACTTTGCAAATTGCACAGAAGCAAAATGCGGTCATAGAATGTCAGAGTCGTAGATGATATTTCGCTGATTGTCTTTTCAGCTGTTCAGGTACACCGTGGCTCGTTACATGAGGGAAAAGTACAAGATCTGGCCTAACATGAAATTCGTTGTGGCCTCACGATTTGGTTCGACGAAGCAAAGCTCTAATTTGTGACATCTTACACCATTTTATTGATATGAGCTATGGTCAATACTCATGGTTAATAACCATTAATAGGGGCTAGTCATCCAATGGTTCATAGGGATTTATAATATTTTATAATAACCATTATAAGGATCCTTATTATGTATGGGATGACCATCAACCATATAGTGAGTATTGACCCATACCCATATCAGTGTACAATCCTTTGAAGGCATTTCTGCCTGACCATGCGCACAATGTAGTCGATCTCCGTCAGGTCAGTTTTCTGTATTATAAGATGTCATATTCCTGCATTGGTCCTTGTCAAGTGTTCCCTTCAACTTCTCATCCCAATTCTTCAGTTACGGAAGAATTGCATAGAATTCCTACATTACCAGTGTGTTAAAATTATGTTTGCAAATCTTCTGCGACCCAAAACTTCGCTGAGAAACAGTGGCATTGAAGGCATTTTTCAGGCATCTCATTTTCCGTTCGGGGACGGATCAATACATTTCTGTTGTGGTCACCAGGGGATAAACCATGGTTTTTGACCCAAAAAAAATGCCACAAAAAATGGGTGTAAATCACCCATTTTTTCAGGATCCCTTTTTGTGCTCAACTGTTATAGGAAATTGGGTTCCCTCAGGTCAACACTGCGACCAACGAGACTGGCGTGTCGGGAGCTTCGGAGATTCTGCCGTAGTGTGGTGAGTTTGCTCGGAGATTCTGCCGTAGTGTGGTGAGTTTGCACGTTGCACGCTTTTTTGAAAACGGCTGGATTGGATAAAACCACAGTGCAAGTTTGAAAATGCATTCGGAACTTCCGTAAAGGTGTAGTTTTTTATCTAATGATATCTAATGAATCTAATGATCTTCAAGCTAGGCCCATCTGGCTTTGAATACTTTATGAGACCATTGACTTCCAGAAATGGAATTTATTGAGAGAACATGCTTGTCACATCAGGTGGAATAGCTACTTCAAGATGCCAGAATCGGAAGTCGAAAGGCAGGATCCGCTTCCTCCATCTTGAATCCGCCTCCAGCCGGGCTGCGTTTCGCTGTGAATCTAGCAGGCTCAGAGCAGCAAAGTTCTTTTTTACCATGGTCTGAAAAGAGTGCAAAGACATGCCATATTTGAGGTTTGGTTGCCAGGGAGTTTGGACAGTCACCCGCTTAAAAATGTCTGCATTTTTTATGACATCGTCTTTGCCCGATTGTTATTGGCCATATTCCTGCCACAGATTGTGCCTCAGATTTCAGACCTTGAGTTAGTCAGTCTGGCCCAGCCATATTCCACACCCTTGTAACTTTCACAGAATGCGTGTGCTCTCCTAAACCGAGCCTGGCTTCAACTTGACACACCTTTCGGCTTCGATGTGCCAGGAAGCGACCTCATTTGATGTATCAATACTTCAAGTGGCTTGGCAGTTGAGGTTGCACCATTTTTTCCCATGGGAAGGCAGGGGCTTTTGAGCAGAAAGCAGGGATCTAGAAACCGAGATTACAGAGTCTATTTTCACCAAACCATGCAATCTGCCAGTGAAGGTCTTACGAAATGATACGAAATGTTCTCAAGCCGCCCTCCCAAGCAAAGGGAAATTTCACGTCACTATGTGTTTCTTTGCTCCATCTGGCTCTGAGGCAGATCAGGAAACTCCGAAGGCGGTCACAGTAGTTTTGCTTCTGCCTCTGTAAGACATACTTTGCCAAGCAGTGGCGATCTGTGATGTCTTGTTTGCACAAAATAAGAATTGGTTGTTGCGTGTTCCAAGAGATTTCAACTGTGCGGGTGTCTTCCGGCAGTTCGACGTGCCAATGCTAGTGGAAAGTTGGAGCTGTTTGGTACCTGCTGCTATCCTTCTGCTGTTGGAATTATTAGGCTATTGATGGCTATTGCATTTGGATTGCGGCCGTCAAAATCCAGACCCCTCCAAGCTTTGTTTCTCATGGCATTATTCCTTCTGCTCTTTGATTCTTGCTCCGGTTTTCTTTCTTCCTCCAGAACCTGGGCCCCAGTACCTCCAAAGGACGGGTCCTTTCTCTGTGCCAGGAAGATGGGCGATTGTCCTGGGCTCGGAAGAAGATCAGAGCGTTTGTGCGCGCACAGGTTTCACAAACTTCTGCCTTGGAAATCACCAGTCTCCTTAGTCTCCTTAGTCTCCTTAGTCTCCTGGGCTCTGGCAAGTTTCTTTCCACACAAGGCCGCTACCGCAACGGCCAGCTGAAGTTTATTGTCATGCGAGGGCCCTTGCTGCCAACGCATTTGTCAACTTCAGGGTGTGTCGGAGAATGAGCATCAGACTTGAAACTTGTAGATGTAAACAGCCACGTTTTCTCTTCACAAAGAACCTGAGGATGCGACATCATCCCTTTACAAGAGAGATATACGGCTCAAGATATGCAGGTCGCAGAGACATGTTTACTTTCGATTGATTGTTGCAGACTGTACCATTTGCAGCACTTTCACCGAATGATCGAAGCATCTTGTGGCCACACATGCTATGTTAGATCAAGAGCATTGGAAGCTATTCTTTTCCCCAAAAAAGGGTCGTGGCCCACAAGACAGCATGTCCAAAACCTCTTGGTTGGTACAGTAGTTGCTTGAGTAGGGGCTGTTGTGTAATTTTGATCCGGGGTCACTGGGTACAGTGACATTTTTTTCTCATCTGACCCTGCCAGATAAACCGGAATGGGTTCAGATTCCTGGGGAACAAAGGATGAAATCCCAGTCCGGAGCCGAGACGGTGCAAGATGAGAACTGATGCGGCTGGGTCAAACACAGCCCTGCTCCCGCACTCGTGTTTGGGCCCGTTTCCAAGGAAGGCACGGGCCCGAGAACTCGAACGGAAGCTGCGCATTGAAGCGGAGGCCTGGTGCGGACCAGAATTTTCTTTTCTTTCTTTCAAAATCCTTCCGTCCAGCAGATAGATAGCCTACGATATTTACATTATAATATATATAGTCAAACATGAGTAATAACTACCAGAGCAACTGCTATCAGACTGATGCATTATTCTACTTCAGAAACGAACACTGACGAACATTGGTTGAACTTGGCCAGACACTTGGGCGCGGTCAGTGCATTCTGAAACCTTCCTGATCGTAGCGCTTATGTGTTTGAGAGAATCAATTTAAAAGCTGCTTCCAAAGATGAAATTGCTCAACATCTTGAAACTACAGGAAATCCGCATGGAAAAGCTGAAGGCCATGGGCGTCTGGCTTGGGACTTGGTAGAGCAAAGTAGAGCAAGGGCAGAGCAACCAGAAAGCGTCAGCGTCAGAAAGCCATGACATCCCATGGGCCAACTGGGCTGGGATTCTAAGGACTGGTGAGCCGGAGTGGCGAGCTGCAAGCATCCCAGAGAAGGAGGCTTGGACGGACCGGGACCCCGGGACCGCAAAGACGAGATTCTGAAGGGGGCCCGGTGGGGCATAGGGGACATAGTTTTAGCCCCGCAACAGCGCCATCACTCTCTGGACAAGGCAATCCGTTTCAAATGGTGCAACCTCTTTCATTATTTTGCATTGGCAGGGCTTGCCACCCACGAACCAAATGATGTACAAACAAGTTTAGGACATCTGATGCAGTGTCAGCGCTATCACATCAAAGTCCTCTTGGACTCTCCCCGAGTTGTAAGTTCGTCACCGCATCCAGAGCCATGAGCGACGAGCGAAGTGCGCTCAAAGCAAAGCTAGCAGGCTATGAGGCACGCCATGCATCTCCATGCTGCAAGTTCAGAAGTTGAAAGACTTTAAAAGACAATGTGCTGTTGTCCAGGAATAGGGGGATTTATGTAACCCCAAATCTATGGCCCTACGGCCATTTTAAACATATTTTGATTGAGAAAATGATCAGCCACTGGATGCTTTGGGGTGGTATCCCTGCTGTGGTTTCGAGGGTTACTGTTGGATGGAGGGTCAAAGCTGGAGACAGAAGACAGCACAAGCCGCCATCCAGTGGTTTACATATTTCTGCCCCATGTCGCGGACCAGATTTGCTTTGTGCCTCGGCCGATAGGTGACCGAAGAGCTTTCTTCAAGCGCCTGGCTCTTGCGCACGGAGGAGGCATCTGCACCGCCGGCAGTGTTGGCCACGGAGGTCTTCTTGGCAAAGGAAAAGGTGGCGCTCAAGTTCCTTTGCCAAGAATCAATTGGACTCAGGGGGGAAATTCAAAGGACACCACATGACCTTGTGATGCCTTCATAGGCTTTGGTTGACTTACTGTCTCTGCTTGTGTAGCTGAACACAGCGCTGGAAAATCGAACCAGAGAGAACGAAGAGCAGTGTTGGTATGACTCATTAGATTCTGTTTTGCTTTGGTGCGATAGGCGAATTCCTTCTAATTCGTCCAAATCCACTACTGTAACTCCAGGGTTGCAAGCATAGGTGTGAAGGTTTTCGCGAATTCTCGTCCTTACATGGGCTTCGGCAAAGCTGAATGTGTAATCTGATGTGGGGACCGCATGAATATGTGTACGCCTGGCTGGGACTCCAACCAAACAAACTGACCCCCAGAAGATAGCTTGAGATACCTGGCACAATCTGATGACCCATGATGACCCTACACTTTCTGATCGTGTTGAGGTCGTTGCTGGAAAAAGCTTTGGTGTCCGAGGGCACGGAAGGATGGTTTTGCAACGACCGCTACTATAAGCAGATGACCAAGGGTGCAGCTGATGTTTGCGTGGAGGCAACCTAGTCTTTTCAGGATCTCACTGGATTGTGAGGGGTAAGCAGACCTGTGACATGACTGTTGGGCGCTTCTTCCGTTTGCCAAGCCTTTATTGATCTTTATTGAACACCAACAACCCAACAGGGGTCTTTTAATGCAGGTGTGCGTGCATGCTGCTGTAGTTTACAGAATGCACTGACAGGTCATTGTCCCCGCAACCGACAAAGACATCCAAAAGAGGAGGAAGGTCGAGCTGCGCCGGGTTTGCGAAACTCAGGCGTTGTATGAGGCAGTGACTTGGACTGAGGTGCGACCAAAAGCACCAGTATTCATGAGAGAAAACCTGTACTCATGATACAAGCAACTCAAACTACGGCGATCTAAAAAGGAAACCATCTTTTCTCCACGACTTTGTGGATTCCTTCTGACAGCTGTGACATGACAAAGCGCAAAAAACGCTGCAGCAATCATCCAATGATCACAGAACCTCGACCCTCCTCCGAAAAAACTGAACTGAAAAAGTGCTTGTTTCTCAGAAGGTGTCCACTTTGTCTCTGCTGTGTCCAGAACAATTCTTACCATTCCGAAGGGTTTCTGGAACCGCAAACAATGGAATTGTAGCCGAAGACTCATCATTTTCACAGGACCCGGGGAAAGCAACTGATTGCAAGTTCTTCCAAAAGTCCTAAACATATCTAAATTGTCTAAACATATCTTCTAATGAAATTGAATGATTTTTCCCAAAGGACGCGCCAAGCCGCTGAGGTGACTATCCCCAGCCTGATCAGTGGTGCTGAGAAGCGCGACACCTGGGTGGCCAACATTATCAATGGACAGTCGGAGCAAGAACACGTGGTCACAGAACTGTCTGGATCCTTGGCACATCTTGGCAGATCTTAGGACTTGCGGTCAGCCCTGTGGCCCCGGCCAGCCCTGTCCCCTTTTTTCCTGGGAGAATCAAGATCTGTCCCTGTCGTCAGTTTTGCATTCCCTGAGGTCATATTCCGAAAATCATGTGGTTAAGATTCTACGTGAATTTCAGACATGCAGCAACAAGAGAAATGCATCGGAGAACAAACAAGCAAAGGTCGACCTTGAGAATTCTGGTTTGTTACTATTACTGTATTAACTGTACTTACTTGTTGCCATTTGTTCTAATTGATTGAAATCAGAACCTACCCCTGGGGATGCGGGGCTACCACACGAAACCGCCACTCTTCACTCTTGAAGAGTGTGCAAGATGGCTCCATTTGGTGTCATCTCGACTTCAACCTGAACCAACTAGTTTGTTGATGCAAGCTAGTCGGGAAGAGGCAAAAAAACCTCCTGCAGTTTGCCTAACTGGCTGCTGCAGGAGGTGTAGTCCAATTCATCTATGATGAAAGGACTTTGAAGGAGTCGGCAGGCACAGGGAGACCTGTCAGCCTCCGGTTCCCTTTTCTGCACTCAGTGGTGCATCCGTGTGGATCCCTCGACACAGTCAGGGTGTGTCAATGGGAGGGAGCCTGCCATCGTCTGCCATCTTTGAGGAGATGGATTAGTGGTGGTCAAGGATTACAAGTGGCAGAAGATGGACGTTGTTGCTAAGCTGACAAGAGTTGGGGGTGGAGAGGGAGCCTGGTGGGAAGCCACGCAGCAATACGCAGTGACTGCTTCAGGAACCACTTTTCCCAATCTTCTCACTCTCAATCAATTCGCTTCTGTGTTGAAAGAATATAAATATCAACAGTTGGAGGTAGTTGGTGTTTGGAGCAACTCCACGCACTGCAACAAGCAAAAGGAAAGTTGCCCTTGAGTGGAAAAAGACATGCAAGTGTGCAATATATGTGTTAATACATGTTTTCATACGATTTGAATTACATTTATAAATCATTTATGCATGTTGTATGTTGTATGTTTTTCACCTTTGTTTCCCAACACCGTTTAATACTGGTGAAAAAGTGGTATCGCCTCACAAGGTCGATGACTTGTACTACCTGTGCCTCTTTTCCGACCTCACGGTGCGATCCTTACGAGACCTGCGCGGTGAGCACGTGCCCATGTTGAAACGGATTCAGAAGGTGGTGATCAACGGCCTGGCAGAGAAGCATGGAGTCGCTTCCTCTCAATTGCTGGCCTATGTGGCTTTGATCTACAGAACTCAACTGTCAACTTTTGGAAAATCCCGGATTGCATCCTTAAAAAAAGGGGATTCGCCAACCTCCTGTAGGTACATGATTCCCGCAAGATGCCACAAGGGGGAAAACTGGTGATACTACCTCTCAGTATCTGATGTGTTGGAGCAATCCTGACATGTTCTTGAAACATGTGCAGTGATGTGTTTTACTTTTTTCCCTTCACGGTTTGCTGCTCGGGTAAGAAACTTTTCCTTCTACTCCCCGCTAGGTACACTACCATCCTACGTTCTTTTATTTTCACGTTCACGTGGTAAATTGCAAGCACGCCATGTTCCAGAGTGAGAAGTCGTCAGAGAACCTTCTGCTCATAGCGATGGACCGATACCACAAGCTGGACACGATTATCACTTTGCTCGAAGCGCAGCCGAACTACTTTGCCCAAGCGCCTCTGACCATTCTCATTTCACCACAAAGGGCTGAGGTGTATCAGAAAGCTGCAGCAGAAGGAAAAACTGCAGAAGGATACTAGGATATTATGCTAGGATAAATTAGGATATATTAGGTGATTTGAGCGGCGTCCGTGGAACAGCGTGGAAAACAGAGAGCGGTTGCCCTGTTGTTTTCGCTTTGTGGGCAATCATGGCTGTCGTTGTCGCTGCCGTGATCCATTTCACTGGTTGTGATTGTCCGCATTGTCGTGGTTGTCCTTGTCGCAGCTGTACTTGTGCTGTTTTTGTTTCTTGCTACTGCGGTTGCTGTTGTTGCTGTTGTTGCTGTTGTTGCTGTTATTCCCGTTGTTGTTGTTGTTGTTGTTGTTGTTGCTGCTGCTGCTGCTGCTGGTGTTATTTTGGTTCTTGCTTGTCAGCTAGTCAAACATGCTCAAGGCCGTGCGCTTTAGCAGCCTGGCTGCTTGTATGGGATGATATGCGCTAATATTTGCCTCAGATGTTTGACTTTCAAAGATAGGCTTGTGCAGGTGATGTTTCTTCCTGCTTGTAGGTTCTTAGATTCAGTTTCATTCGCTCTTCCCTCCCTTGTTGCATGTTATATATTTGTTCATTGGAGATCACTGCAACTGATCCTCCTAATACATACATAACACAATGGCTGGTTGGTGGTTTGGAACATTTTTTTCCATTCAGTTGGGAACAATAATCCCATTTGACTCAGATTTTTCAGAGGGGTAGGTCAACCACCAACCAGATGGTATTTACGATTTTATGGCTGAAACTGGTTGTGCTACCAGATCAGCTCGCTGAGCGCAGGTGCGTTGGAGGCCACGTGGAACCAAGGGCAGCCGCGGCTGAGCTCCGTAGATTTTCGAATTCTGCCAGCCGCCCGATGAAAAAAATCGGTGCCATCGGTGCAGGGGAGTTGAAAGGTCCATTCTGCCAGGTGACAGTTGCACTTTTTCGCACTTGCGTTATTGTTGGTCTACAGTTGGAGCCATTGTTGGCTTCGAAGATCAAATAATTCTTAGTAATTCTTATGGTTTGCAGGCTCCTTGCGTGATGAACAATAAGATATTTGGATATATTTGGTACTTTGATCAGCAGAAGATTTGGTTCGGAAGAGATGGCAATTCTTCTAAAAGGTACTTCAAATAAACTCAAAAATCGTCGCCGTTTTTTTGTTTTGGCTCAAGATGGCAATGTCCTCGCTTGACAAACACTGAGACCTGGATCGGCCGGAGCCTTGTTACACAGAACATGCTTTAAATGATGTAGCATGCAGCACTGCCAACCAGGGATGACTAGAGATTGATGCGAGCGAAAGTTCAAAAGAATTCTTCGCACAGATTTGGTCACAAGGAGAGAAACAGAAACTTGCATGCACGGAATCCAGATCCATCTGCACGTTCTTTGCTTTGTCTAAACGATAAGGGTATACAAAAGTTCAAAAATCCAGGTGCCTTAGAAAGCCACAAAATCCTCAATCTGGCTGTAGATCCCTCATTTCTGGACGAACCCAGTTGGTTTCCAAAAACTCTTCAAACCAATCTGGCGTTGTCCAAAAAAGGCTGTTCCGATGTATTCCGATGTCTTCCCCATTTTTCTATCCATTTCTTATATAAAATCATCATCATCTCATTTTCGGCCATTGCGCCTAGATGGAGACCGATCGGGAGCGAGCACCGGCCACGATGTCCACACATTTATCTGTCGACTCTGGAGCCTTTTCTCCTACCTCGCAGGAGCAGACATGGGGACAGAATGAAGGATGGTTGGGTGCAAAAATGAAGTGATTTCTAGTGATTTCTAGTGATATACAGTGATATTATGCTGATATGTTAGCTTATTTAAGGGAGATTATGGATTGAACATCGGAACCCCTATCAGCCAACTAGATGATGTGGAAAGGATGTGGGAAGGATGTGGACAAATTGATCTCTCCTATTTGCAAAAAAGGTGGATGGTGGTCTAACCTTGAACCAGGAGATTGACTTCAACCAGACTCAGCTGAGGTCATTGGGTCATGGGAATGTATTTGAAAGAGCGGCAACACTGACGGGGAGCTATTGCGTACCACCTGCCAATCGACAAGATCCGACATTTTCAAGAGTTGCTGGACTCGACTTGCGACTTTTCCATCCTTGAATGATGTGGATGTGGTTAGGTTGGTGCGGGAGCAGACCTCCCACTGCATCAGGGATCTCAATGCTCTCCGAGCGGAGGACTTCGGGTGGGTTCCAGGTGGAATCGTGAGTTTAATCATCAAATCATGATGGAAAAGTGGGAGATGTCAGGATATCTAGGCTTTACGACTGGTTTTTGATTTGTTGGTGTGACAGGTTTTGCCAGAAAGAATCTATGGTTCTTGGAAAATCATGGAAAATCTAGAATGCTTTGCCAGTGTGGCACATCTCATCCGAAATGTGGGTCTTACATGGTCTTATAGTCATAGCATGTTTAGTCTGCCAGGTGATGTTGCTGAAATCGGAGGTGGAGTCTGATCGCCCCTTGGCATTGTTGGCTACAACAAGACATGGTGACATGTTGCAACATATTGATCACATTGATCCGTTGCTCCCTGGGACATGCAGAATCAGAAGTCTAAGACTCCCAGAGTGATGAGCCTCGGGAAATGGTCGGTTCAATGGATTGGACTAAGGGAAAATTTACAGGAAAGCCCCATATGAAAAATGGGAAAATCATGGAAAATAACTCTGGTTTCCGGTGAAGATTTTCCCAACAAAACCAATCCATTGATAGGTTCATGGTAGGTTCCAACGTTTCCACAGAGTCGTTGACCCACAGAACTTGTCCCACAGAGTCAAGGTTTGAGCGCCAGTGCAGCCGTGTCTCCGGTTGCAACGAGAGTTGCGGTTGTGATGTGAAACAACTGGACCGGGACCCTGTTCCATTCAATCACCATTAAATCACCATTAATCACCATTAATATCCATTAATCACCATCAAATCACCATTAAATCACCCTGTAGTGGCAACATTGGTTCATCTTGGTTCATCCCAGAGTGTGTCGAATCGCCAAATTTGAAGATGACAAACTTGGCGTGCCAGGCCAGCTCCATGGAAGGGAAGCAGATTGATGTGCAGGCGCTAGGGCGGTTTGGCTGGATGCATTGTCTTCTTGTGAATGGGCTGAATGGGCTTCCCAGTCTCCAGCTTACAGCAAACGGAAATCCACTGTAAAGGACTTTGCAAAGCAAACTCTGAGTGTTTCCTGTCGCTTTGATCTGAGGCTGGTAACAGGTCTCCACAGTTTCAATGCAACGCCCGAGCTCCCAAAGACCAGGAACATTTTGAGCGAGAAAGACGTGAGCGAGATGCCGTGCTGCAGCAGCTCTCCAGAAAGGCACCACCCAGCAGCGGTTGACTCTGACAGGATTGGGCTGAGGAAGATTGAGGAAGTACCAAGGTCTAGAGTCTAGACCAGTTGCATTTTTCAGACTACATTATTTTCATTTATTTGCTTTTGAGGCAGCATTTCCGCATTTGAAGAATGGCCGTGTTGGAATCATGGCCGTGCACCGTGCCAACGTGGCAAGGTGCAGGATCTGGACCGCGAGTTGCCTCCCATTCGCGACGAGATGTCGCTGGTTCGTGAGCAGGAAGCGGTAGTCGAAATGCTGATTTACTGGTGCTAAACGTAGGGAATGGATGCAATGGATGCAATGGATGGGAATGGATGGGAATGGGAGGATGATTATAGTGATGAAATGGATCATTCCTGAAAGTTCCCTACGTTTAGCACCAGTTTTTGTGATTTATGATTTACACATCATGGAGCAAACACCTTCAACCAGCAAAAATCTCTGTGGGCTAATAGGCTAATGTCTGGAAGAAGACTTTGGGACCGGGTGCCCTAAGAACATGCCTTCTTGGACAGAACATTGTTTGGCTCCTTGCCCAGCCAGCCTCCTTACCCAAAGCCAAGCCTTCCAAGCTTTCGCTGGCAGATTCGAGCCTTGGAGACAGCGTGGCATCCACACATCGAGGAGTAACTGGAAGAAGTTTCCGGCTGGGAATCGTTGCTGGACCCAAAAAACATAAAAAACGACTCCTTTGCGCTTCTGCTTTATGAGAATATATGAGAATCTATGAGAATGAACTGGGAATCTGAGGCTTCCTGCATCCAAAGAACATAAAGTACTGAAACGTTTTCTTCATTCCATTGTTCCACCACGACCTTCTCATGCTGCCAGGACTTACAAGCAACTTTCTTGAAGGATGTGGAGGCAATGAGCTCTCTGGGTTAGTCACCAAATGAATACAATAGAGTACTATCTGGGTATGGATCAATACCTATTAATACCATTTTTAGTGGGTTATTCACATCCATAAATCCCAGCTATTTTGGGGTTCACTAGGTACCAGGGTTTTGACCCATCCCCATCTGTCTACATTTATCATCTTAATTAGAGGCAACTACCATGGCTGCTATGCGCTCTCAACCTTGCAGACACAGTTGTTTGATGCTACACTGCAGCTGTCTCTTGATCAGATTAACATTCAGGTACCAATGCATCCGTAAATTTTAGGTCGTTTTATATTCAACAATCCATTTTTTTAGCTTGATCCTTTTGACCCATACCAATTCGCAATTTTCTCAAGAGGACTGAACCTTTTGAGCTGTGATTTCTGTTGGACAGAGGCTCGTCATCAAGCTCACGGACAGCTGGAACAAAGGCTTGCTGAAATCGATGCAGGTGGGGAAGGGATGGGAAGGGGGCAGACCAGTTTTTGCACTTCAAGGATTTGCATGGTTGCAGCAAGATTTGCGAACCAAAATGCACGCATTCTGATGCTTTGTGGTGTTCTTACAATGACACTGTTGGCGGACGATCCACTTCCTACTGAGGCATGGCCAAACATAGTGCGTTGCACAAGGCAAGTGCGTGAGAGCACAGTCCTTTTGGATTTTTCTTTGCTTATAAATTATAAACTATAATAGTAACATATAGTAACTATAGTCCTCTTGCACCTGCGCTTCCCTGGATAAACGGTTGCTTTTGCTTGTCTGGATTTTGGATCCCGGGATTCCATGCTAAGCGCATCACCCTGGTCACAGGATCTCCGAGATCGGTTGCAGACCACTGTCCATCAGGAGAACCCCCTGAGCCTGAGCCTGTGGCTGCTGCCGCCTAGACAACCGGACACTTATTTTTCGTTTGGCCAGGCCAAAAAAGAACAGTTCTCTTGTACACCAATCCGCGGCACCTTTCGATCGTGGAATTTGTACAAAGTGTATACATTTTCTGGGACATTTCCATCCAATTCGAAGTTGAAGCTATGGTATGGAGAGGCCACAGGGAAACATGCTTTTCTGCGCAATGCTGGTTCAGAATTGAGCCCGCCTCGTAATTCAACTTCACAGAAAAAAAAAACAATAAAAGCTGAGCAAATCGTTGGTCCATGTCTTCCTTCAAACAGCACCAGACATTTCTTGGTTTCCACATTGCGAGGAGCACCTGGAGAAGTTGGGCCGCGAAATCCAGACGCACGTCGCCAAGGTTGCCGAGATGCAGGAACGGCATACGGGTCCCAGTGAGATGGACATGACACATTTGCCTTGGCGACCCAGGCTTAAGTGCCACGTTGATCCAAGTTTCTTTTAGCTACTTAAGCTAGAGAATCTAGAGATACGTAGGTATGGTCCGGTATAGTGCCTCGGATTCTTTTTCAACATTTTGTGCACAAAGAAGTTCGAGCAGCAGAGTGCAGAAGGGGGTATGTTGTCCGAAGTTCTCAGCATTCCTTGAGTCTGTTTGACGAAGACTATCCGGTCAAATGTGGAGATATCGGCTGTCAAAGATAGTGAGATACCTGACAATGACTGATACCCTCTGGTAATTTAACATAACTATGGAAAATCACCATTTTTCATGGGAAAATCCACTATTAATGGTCATTTTCAATAGCTATGTCAGTCATTACCAGAGGGTAATGGACAGCGTGGTTCGATGTGATCAGAAGAGACTGCCAGCTTCACTTTGGAAGAAAGTCTGCACTTGGTAGACCTGGACTCACCTGTTGACATAATAGATATGGGTATGGATCAATACCTATAGATACCATTTTTAGTGGGATGAACATCCATTTACCAGCTATTTTGAGGTTCACCAGGGGTACAAAGTTTTGACACACTGCCATATGATGATATGATCCATATGCTTTGCCTTGTGCAATTGCACTTTACCTGCCTGGCCCAGGAGCATCATGCAAATTTGCGGAGCCATTTGGAAAGTGAAAAGGCAAAGTTTGGGCCATTGTATGTGGGTAGGAATATTAGAAGCTTGGGCAGTGGAAGATGGGCAGAGGCAGCGCAAGAGAAACTCAGTGTCATTGCTTTCGCATTCAATCTGTGACATATTTGCAAGCAAAAGGATGACTTTAAGGATTATCTTTTGCCAGTCTCAGAGTACTGTAAGATTTCCCAACAGACAATTGCTATGCCACTTAATGTCTCTCAGATCACGCAATAGCAGACCTGCAGAACCAGACTCAGCGACAATCACTGTCCCAGGAGACCAAGAACAAAGCCTTGGAGGAGACAGATGAAGCGAATGAAATGAAAGGGGGTAAGGTGGGTAAGGAGGCTGAAGCAGAGTCAGATACAGCAAAGCAACTGATTTTTGAATGGACAAGTTGTCACCATGTGGTCACCATGGCAGGACTTGAACTCCTTCATGTCCCAACAGTTGGGAAGGAACTTGAGTGACTTGGCTGAAACTGCTGGCCTTTGAAAAGAGCTGGTTGGATCCGCGTGTTGGCCTTATGGAAGAGATCAAATTTCCTGTTGAAGATCTGATGATTTCTGATATATTTCTGACGCACAGTTCCAAAACGTCCCATCTTGTCCCTGTTGAACAAAATTGAACTTGGAAAAGGCATTCTGAATCGCAAAAGCATGCTTGAACATGTCGCAATAGAAGATGTAAGCTCAGAGTCTGGAGGAAATGATACCGCCCTGATCGAATGTATTTTTCCTAAGTGAACTCGAGGTGCTCAGTCAGCTCCTATTCAGGCACCTGATCAGCTGTGACCTTCGGGTGGGAAGATGAATGAACACATCTTGTGCATGTCGCAGGTCGCAGATCGCTCGGATTTGGTTGCATTGAACAGCAGAAATGATGCTGGTGATCACAGATGGGCAATATTCATGACAGTGCTCACTGAGACAAAAGTTCCTTCACCAGTATGAGCACTGATCTCAACGATGTAGCCTAATGTAGCTTGTGAATGCTACAAAAGTCATCAAAAGTCATCAAAAGACCCAACTCCAAGTCTTAGCGAACATGTCCCAGATATTCCCAGTTTGACATAGATTCACCGCCTCTTGGCTGGCGCCAGAAGCGCCGCCGGGTCGTGAGGAGCGCCTGGACTACTTGGAAAAACTGATGGGTGATTCCGCTGCGCGCCATGCTCGGGCTGGGAGCTCAGCATTGTCCGACGCTTTTTTACTGGCCAGGCCATATCCTATCGCCAGGCTACAGCGGCGCCCTGGTCTGCCGTTTTTTTTCACATAGCACTGGGCGCAAGCGCTGTTTACCCAGGATTTGGCTGCAGCTCATCAAAAGATCCAGGACTCTGGAGCATGTTCTGGACCAGGTCATCAAACATTATCCAGGGGTAATTTAAATGGAAAATCACCATTTTTAATGGGAAAATCCACTATAAATGGCCATTTTCAATAGCAAACTGTTAGTTTACCAGAGGGTATCCAGGGGTCAACAGGGACCCAGGCTATGTGTCCGACTCTCTGCAGGACCATTCCGTCCAATCCAAGGGCCACGTGCAGGACTGACTTCTCTCGCTGCCGTTTTTTGTTGCGAAGACTGTTGGAACGGAGAATGAATCTATGATCCAACAGTTTACGAACCATACACAAATGATATGTAATAACTGTACAATATATAACTACGTATATATATAATTATATATATAATATACATGTATATACTTGTATGTATTTATATTTATATCACACATATGGATCATCGCACATAGTTTACATTTTCGTATTTGTGATCGGCTTTTGAAACCTGGATTTTCTCCGTAAAAGCTGGGCTTTTGCCTAGCCATTTCCATCCATTTTCACCCGATGCCAGGAGCAGCTGGCCTACCAAATCTCTTTGGCTTCTCGAGTGGAGTTCCTGGAGAAAAGTTTGGGAGACTCCGCGGCAAAGCAGAGCCAGGTGCGCAGATCGGCGGATGTCAGTGTTGGCAAGGTTGATACGAGTCCAACCTTGGGGGTCTGGACAGGCAATCCTTATCAATCCTTGTTGTGTCAGTAAATTACCACGAAAGCTAGCTTGCTAGCTGGAGTCGGATTTGCTTTAGCAATGAATTGCTTCCATGATCTTTCATGTCGAACTGGTTTTGGGGCCCTCCTGTTGGACATGATTGATCATGTCGAACTGTGACTTTCGGGCTCAAGCCCCGCTGCGTCCATCCCGCTGGGTTTCAGTTTCAGGTGTGACCACGGGTTCGCATGTCCACGCGCACACACACACATATACATACAAGATCATACAAGATGATCTCCATCGCGGGTGTTCTGAATGTAATGCAATCTAATCTAACGTAATCTATTGCAATGGAATCTAACCTAATGCAATCTAATCTAACCTAATGTACTGTAACCTAATGCAATGTAGTGTACTGTAAATCAAATCAAACCTAACCTAATCTAATCTAATCTCTCTATGTAATCTAATGTCATCTAATGAATGTACGTAATGTAATGCAATGTAGTGTAGTGTAATGTAGTGGAATGTATTGTAATGTGATGTGATGTAATGTGATGTGATGCAATGTAATGTAATGCAGCTAATGGCCCCAAATAACAAGGCGCGAGGTTGCCTTGGAGCGTTTCCATGGAGTCAACATGAAAGGTATTGGCCAGCAATCTTGTCCCTGAAGGTGGAAAGTTGATGGGTTCAATTCAAACACATAGCTGCCGGAATTGTCTTGAAGGAGCTTGAAGATGGCGAATCTGTAAGCAATATTTCCCTTGAAAAATGATTCCGCTCAGTTCACCATATATCCCAAGCTGAAAGCACACAAACTCATCAGGTATCATTTGGAAGAAATTGGGGTCAAGTATGGCTGTAAGCAATTTTGACTTGCAAAGTTGAAAGCCCATAACTTTTGATCACGAGCTGATTGGGAAGGTTTTGAATGGTGGAAATGAAACACGGGTGTCAGCAATCGTGGCTTCCAAGTTTGACATTGTTAGTTTTGGCTACAAGCAAACGGCAGTGTATTTCACAATTCGGCTATATTGGCCCGCTGGTGCGACTTTGTACTTGCTACTGCAGTCCTTTCAAGCCATCAGCTCCTCAATCCAAGTCACTGCGTCATGTTGCAATAGACGCGCAGAGACATGTCCAACATACATCGGCAGACGCCCACTGCATCACATGGAAGGCAGTCATCCGCTTTGGCAGTTCTTGCCTGTCTCCAGTACTGTCCCATGGCGCTGGTTCTTCAATGCGTGTTGTAATTTGAAAAGCGCGGCGAATGGGTTGGTTGCTGGGTGCAATACACCACAATGGCGGACAGCAGGGTAACAGCCATTTAAGCATGAATATTCATGTCATTTGGACCGGCCTTTCAAATCAAACGCCCCGACTTTATACTTATACCTACGCGGACTGTTCTTGCTAGCTTTTCCCCGCCGTTCCAGCTTCCAGGATCACTGGTGGGGTGTGTGTGTTCATACGCCATGACAGAAAGGACTCGATTACCTGGTTGCGAGTTATAGCTGATGCCTGGCTATGTGCAGCAGAAAGGAACTACAGGGCCAAGTGCGCCTTTTGCTGGGAAGCAAAGCTTTGACGATGCCATCCGTGGACGCTGTGGTCTTGGATGTGGCCTGGATGCATGGAGCCCCTTTTGCTGAAAGAACATTAGTAGACGAGCGTCTGGCGTATTTGAAGCCCATGTTTGAAGCGAACTTAGAAAGACTGCTGCAGTGACAAGCTGGTTCACCAGACCTGCAGGGCACGCCCATCGGTTGGAGGAGCAAAGACACCAGCAAAGAAAACATATAAGGGAAGGGCCACCCGAGAGGCACCCTTTTCTTTTGTCGAAGAAGTCTTTGGGAAGGGCCCCCGCCTGGGTGATCAATAAACCACAACACTGACGACGCGACACGAGTGCCCAGGCAGAGGGGGATGATCCCCCGGTAAAGGGCTATTGAAGCTATTGTTACTTCCTATTGGGACCCCCATGTAGAAACAGGCTGCCGGGATCTTAACATTAACCCTCTTTATATAAACATTTGCCGCCTCCAATTTGCTAAATGCGGATGTTGATAGATTGCTTGAGGGTTTTACGTTTTAATTCTTCATACAACTTTGTTCTGAAAGCATGTACAGGAGTTGATGTACGTGACGCAAATTGAATGCATACCCCCGAAAAAGGTTTACTAAAGAAAGTGAGCGCTAGACGTTGAGAATTTTATATCTGGGTGTGAAGTTGGCCAGGAACTGTAAGCCCAACCATTTACCATTTTTTCCGGCTTCACGGAGGGGCTGAACGAAACCAGCGCGCAAACTTTTGAAAGCACATGCCGAGTTCTCTATTTGCCGCACGTTTTTGATTTTGCTTGTGTATTTGCAGCATCCCGAAGTGTTGAACTGTATTCTGCGGATCTGATTTTTGGGCTTGTTCTGCAGTGATTGGCTTGAAGCCCGTGGGAATAGAAACGGCCGGAAAAGCGATCAAACATTCTTTGCCTTGTCTTGACCTTGAAGATCCATTGCGTGACCGATTGCGTATGAAATGGCGCCTTGTGTGTCTATGTGCGGTTAAGAAATTTTGCATTACTTGCGTTCCTGAGGTTGGAGATGGGGGCCTTTCTTGGAAGCGCCAAAATTCAGGCCATCAGTTGCGCTGGGGCAATATTTTCTTCCGCTTTCAGCAATCGCCCTTCCCTCAGCTTGTAGCCCCTCCTGTGACGATGGCGACCAGTGGGGTCTGGTACTACGGCGGTGAATGGTGGGTCTATTGTGAGGTGCCGGAAAAATCACGCTTTGCAAGGAGTGGCACAATCAAAACGCTACACAAAGTGCAGCAGTTTCAAAAACCTGACATGTCATTATTCATGATATATTCATGGCGTAAGATTCTGTTTTTGGCCGTGCTTCCCCGCAGGTGGTGACCGAGTGTGGCTGGGAGAATTTCCTTACGGGGTGGCACCCGTACGACTTCGACGGGAAGTATGTTGGGTTGGGTCACCACCGCCAACTTTGGAGGACTGGGAGGAAGAAGGCCCGCAGCTCATGATGTTCACGGTAGCGGTGTGAAAATCATGCCGTCTAAGTCGACAGGCCGTGAGAACTATCGGCAGTTTTCTCCAATGGGCCCTCTCTGCAACACAGGCGCATCGGCGGTCAGCGTTGCGGGTTGTTTGCAGGCTTCTTGAGAAGCACGGTAGGATGTCACCCCCCAGCCGATGAATGCAGGTATTTACGGAAACCGCAGAAGAGATCCTTCGCTTCTGTGGGTGACAGCGCGCCCCTTACCTGTGCCAACAAAAAACAGACGATAAGGGAAGGGCAAACCCGAGAAGCCCCGCACTTCCCGCAGAGGTTCGGGAAGCGCCCCCCGCCTGGGTGATCAATAAACCCCGAAACTGACGACGCGGCAAGGGTTGCCCAGACGGAGGGAAGCCAAGACTTTCCGGCAAGGGCTTGCAGTGAAACTGTGGGGGGATCGCAGCCCTTGACCCTTTTATGTTTCAATAGAAGCTCTTTCTCCGGCTTCACTTAAAAGGACCGCGGGTCCGTTCCTCCCCTTGGAATTTACTTTTCAATCGGAATTCCTGATTCTATCAGTTACAATTTAAATAGGAGTTCCTTATCCGGCTTCACTTAGAGGACCGGCCGTCCCGGGCTCCTCTTTCAATTTATAGGAATTCCTTATCCGGCTTCACTTAGAGGACCGGCGATCCCAGGCTCCTCTTGCAATTGAAATTTCAATAGGAATTCCTCATTCGGCTTCACTATGTAATCTATTGTAATGCAATGTAGTGTAGAGTAAATATAATGTAATGTAATGTAATGCAATATAATGAGAGAATTGGAGTGTTGCATTCCATCTCTTCAAGAGATTTGAGTGAAAACAGTACCAGCTCTTGGCGCGAAATGGAAGATGCGCATCTTAAGATTCCCAAGCATTTCTTGCCCGATGGATGTATGCACCAAAGTTACCAGATTTTTTTTACGGGGTTATTTGTATAGTGGATATGCATATATATATATATAGCTATACATATAGACTATAAATATATCGATATGTAGCTAGGCGGATAGAGATCTTAGATAGTGAGAATTTTTACGGACCACACCCTAGCTCATCCCCTTAACTGCAGGGGTGGGGTAGTGGCCCGCCTGTCCGCCTAGTGTTGCACCCGGGTCTTGAACTCGGGTCCGACGCATGAGGGATGCGTTTTATCCACTAGACCATGCCGGCCCTCGATAGAGATCTTACATATGTTCATCATAGACATAAATATTGTATATGTATGTATGTACATATATATAAACTACTATTTATAACATGTCATGGAAAGGAGCAAGGAAGGAAAGGGCTAGGGAAAGAGGTTCAACCAGATGTTCCCAAAGTGGCTCAACCGAACCGCGTTCGGTTGGGGCATTTTGTATTTGGCAAGTAGAGACTAGGAGTGTAATGTTGACGCTGGTATGCTAGGATGTCAGGGGGAGGGTTGTGGAATTATTATGGTGCATGCGAACTAGGATATCATGATACGCTGCTGTTAGCGTGTCAGCAACATCGAACCGTAACTTATTTCAGTCCAAAAAATGGCACTTAAAAGGTCAAACCACATATTTTTTCAATACACATTTCTCCTTCCCCAACTAGCTTTCGCCCCCTTCCCTTTGGCCTCAAGTATGCGCAATACTTTTCATAGCCTTGTAATCCTTACTGGGTCGTCTACTATGGTGTAGGGCAGAAAGGGGAGAGACGGTAAGACCATTTGAAACACGCATCAGCGCCTTACAGGAGCTTCGGGACGCTCATCAGAAGATTACGGATTTGCCCGGATGCTCAGCCAATGTTCAGGGTGAAGGATGCCCGGATTTGGCATACAGAACTGATACGCTCTCAAACATTTAGCTGCCTTTGAATTTCAAATGATTGATGGTTTGCAAAACTTAACCTAGCACTTTGCAAATGCAAACTGCAAGATGCAAAAAGTACTTGTGCTGGTCTGGAGACTGCTTGACACTTTGTTATCCACAAAACAACCCGCGGACTTTAAAACGTTGCTTTCCAATCTTTCCAGAATTCAATACCCAAAGATGGATTCTGTACACACAAAGGGATCTTCTCACAGTAGCCACCACGCAGCTAGTGACATGTTTGGAAAAAAACCACCCTGCACTGTGGTTTCAACATTGACAGGCATGGCCTGACAGAGCACAGCGAAAGGAAACACTCTTCACTGCAGGACTTGCTGCTGGAGTTCTTGTTGTTTTACATGTTGCACAGCGTTTCTACTACACTTCCGGTGTAGTCAATCCAAAAGTCTTTTCAGAGCATGCTTTCTTTGAAGACAGCTCGACTACGTACACATTTGGAGTCATATTTCCTTGCTTAAGACAACTATGGAAATTCAACCCTGGGTTTTCAACTTCTCAGGAGCGCATGGACTTCATTGAGAACCTCCTTGGGGACAACGTGCAGAAACACAGTGAGGCATGGCGTCTGGCTTGTTGATTTGCAGCGATACAAAGATATACATAGATATACATAGATACACATAGATACACATAGATACACAGAGAAAAACATAAATATACATAGATATACATAGATATACATAGATATACATAGATACACATAGATACACATAGATACACAGAGAAACACATAAATATACATAGATATACATAGATATACGTAGATAAACATAGATACACATAGATACACAGAGAAAAACATAAATATACATAGATATACATAGATATACATAGATACACATAGATACACATAGATACACAGAGAAAAACATAAATATACATAGATATACATAGATATACATAGATACACATAGATACACAGAGAAAAACATAAATATACATAGGTATACATAGATATACGTAGATAAACATAGATATACATAGATATACATAGATACACATAGATATACATAGATACACATAGATACACATAGATATACATAGATATACATAGATATACATAGATACACATAGAAAAACATAGAACAACATAGAAAAACATAGATATACATAGATATACATAGATATACATAGATGTACATAGATATACATAGATACACATAGAAATACATAGATATACATAGATATACATAGATATACATAGATACACATAGAAAACATAGATATACATAGATATACATAGATATACATAGATACACATAGAAAACATAGATATACATAGATATACATAGATGTACATATATATATATATACATACAGACAGACATACATACATACAGACAGGTATGACAGCAAGGTGGCACCTAGCTGATAAAAAATATATAATGCATATATCCACATCCATGCAGATTGATCGCATGAACACAAACATAAACCGTCACCAGGTGTCTCTGACAGATGCTGCCTGCTGAGCTGTGAATCTTCATTTGAGCTCCTGGTGAGGAGCTCAAGAAAACGCAGGATCGACTATCAGAGTTTGTGCCTCAGCCGGCGAGTCTTGTGTTAGGGATTGGATGTGGAGCCCATTACAAGTCCATGAAAAAGTCGTGATCATAGGAATGTGCTTTACAAGAGATTTCATCACTGAGAGGGCAACTGGTGTTCGAAATTTTGAGCAAGGCACTTGATTTCGCTTGTGAGCTGCTGCTGAAAGTCAATGCTTTTGACCGGAGTTCAGATTGCAGTCCGTGGCACATGCGGTTGGATTGCAAAGGTTGCGAGGCAAACTTGGTGTGAGCATGCAAAGGACTTGGTCTGATGGATGAGTTTCACAAAAAGCAGCTTTGACAAATCGAGCACAGAACTTTAGTGACTCACCAAAGGCCCTGGCACCACCTCCCAAGCTCTGAACAGCAAGGCATATCTCAGATATCTAATTTCATTGTCACCGTTCTATCAAAGAAGGGGTGCCATTAGGGAGCAAGTGTCGACGAGTATCGATGATTTGCTTCGGTTCTTTGCTAGAAATTCTATTTTTTCCCGAGAGCGTCTGAGCGCAGGGTTCTTCCAATAGTGGGGGTCTGTAAAACATCTTCTCCTCTCATCTTCACATCTCATCTTCACATCCTCTCATCTTCACATCTCATCTTCACATCCTCTCATCTTCACATCTTTTCATCTTTACATCCTCTCATCTTCACATCCTCTCATCTTCACATCTTTTCATCTTTACATCCTCTCATCTTCACATCCTCTCATCTTCACATCTGCTCATCTTCACATCTCTCATCTTCACATCTGCTCATCTTCACACCTTCCCATCTTCACATCTGCTCATCTTCACACCTTCCCATCTTCCTCATCTTCACATCTGCTCACATCTTCACATCTGCTCATCTTCACACCTTCCCATCTTCACATCTGCTCATCTTCACACCTTCCCATCTTCACATCTTCTCATCTTCACATCTGCTCATCTTCACATCTGCTCATCTTCACACCTTCCCATCTTCACATCTGCTCATCTTCACACCTTCCCATCTTCACATCTTCTCATCTTCACATCTGCTCATCTTCACATCTGCTCATCTTCACACCTTCCCATCCATCTGCTCATCTTCACATCTGCTCATCTTCACATCTGCTCATCTTCACATCTTCTCATCTTCACATCTTCTCATCTTCACATCTGCTCATCTTCACATCTGCTCATCTTCACATCTGCTCATCTTCACATCTGCTCATCTTCACATCTTCTTATCTTCACACCTGCTCACCTTCTCTCTCACGCCTTCTTTTTATCTTTCTCTCTTAAGGCCAAGGGTGGTGCCGGCGGCGAGTCACGAAACGTCAGCCCTTTCGCACGAAATGAGGGTGGATCGGCAAAAACTGAGGTAAAATTGCGATTTGACTTGTCCTGGAGCAACCCTTTCGCACGAAATGAGGGTCGATCGGCAAAAACTGAGGTAAAATTGCGATTTGACTTGTCCCGGAGCAACCCTTTCGCACGAAATGATGGTCGATCGGCAAAAACTGAGGTAAAATGGCGATTTGACTTGTCCCGGAGCAACCCTTTCGCACGAAATGAGGGTCGATCGGCAAAAACTGAGGTAAAATGGCGATTTGACTTGTCCTGGAGCAACCCTTTCGCACGAAATGAGGGTCGATCGGCAAAAACTGAGGTAAAATTGCGATTTGACTTGTGCCGGAGCAACCCTTTCGCACGAAATGAGGGTCGATCGGCAAAAACTGAGGTAAAATTGCGATTTGACTTGCCCTGGAGCAACCCTTTCGCACGAAATGAGGGTCGATCGGCAAAAACTGAGGTAAAATTGCGATTTGACTTGCCCTGGAGCAACCCTTTCGCACGAAATGAGGGTCGATCGGCAAAAACTGAGGTAAAATTGCGATTTTTCCGTGTGCTGGAGTAACTCTTTCGCACGCAAAGAGGTTTGTGTGTACGAGCGTTTCTGTGTAAAGATGTTTGTGTGTAAAAATGTTTGTGTGTACAAGTGCATCTGTCTAAAAGTGTTGTGTGTAAAACCTTCTGTGTGTAGAAGTCTTTGTGTGTAAACGGGTTTGTGTGTACGAGTGTTTCTGTGTAAAGATGTTGGTGTGTACAAGTGATTGTATGTAAAATTGCACCTGTTTAAACGTGATTATGTGTAAAAGCTTCTGTGTGTAAAAGTGTTTGTGTGTAAACGTGTTTGTGTGTCGGAGTGTTTCGGTGTAAAGATGTTTGAGTGTAAAAGTGTCTGTGTGTACAAGTGCATCTGTGTAAAAGCCATTGTGTGTCAAAACTTTTGTGCGTAAAAGTGTCTCTGTGTAAAAGGGTTTGTGTGTAAGAGTGTTTCTGTGTAAAGATGTTTGTGTGTAAAAGTGTTTGCGTGTAGAAGTGCACCTGTGTAGAAGTGTCTGTGTGTAAAAGCTTTTGTGTGTAAAAGTGTCTGTGTGTACAAGGGTTTGTGTCTTAAAGCGTCTCTGTGTAAAATGGTGTGTGTGCACCAGGGTTTCTGTGTAACAGGTGTTTCTGTGTGACAGGGGCAATGTGTGTGTGTAAAAGCAGCCTTGCTTACATGTTTCAAAGTGTTTGTGTGTAGAAGCTTCTGTGTGTAAAAGCGTCTGCGTGTAAAAGCGCCTGTGTGTAAAAGTGTTTGTGTGTAACAGTGTTTCTGTGTAAAAGTGCCTGTGTGTAAAAGCGTCTATGTGTAAAAACTTCTGTGTGTACAAGCGTTTGTGTGTAAAAGCAGCTCCTGTGTGTAAAAGGGTCTGTGTGTAAAAGTGTCTGTGTGTAAACGTGTCTGTGTGTAAAAGTGTCTGTGTAGAAGCGTCTGTGTGTAAAAGCTTCTGTATGTAAAAGCTTCTGTATGTAAAAGCTTCTGTCTGTAAAAACTTCTGTGTGTAAAAGCTTCTGTGGGTAAAAGCTTTGTGTGTAAAAGCGTCTGTGTAAAAGCGTCTGTGTGTAAAAGTGTTTGCGATGCAAACGATTGTCTTGCACTTCTCACTATTTTGTCTTGATACTCCTCTTCTCGACTGCCTATAACACAGCTTTCATATACCGTTTCTAAAATTGCAGCTCCATACTAACAAGAGAAGACCCTGCTCCTCTACGCTCTCGGGCCATCCGTCGTCTAGTTTCCTTTCTTTTTCCGTCACCTCAGGCGTGGAGGTGAGATACAGGCTTGCAGTGTGAATGGGCGGAACCGCATGGCCGAACTGCTGGAGGGACGTTAATCATTAACGAAAAAGGACACTTCGAAAGGTCCAAGATGGAGAATGGAATTTGGAGTCACTTCAAACTTCAGTTGCTTTAGGGATCTTTGATCAAGATGTTTAAGATGTTTCCTCTCAGACAACGTGGTGCACCCTGTAAATACTTGGAGTTGCAGCAGGACCAAGAAACACGTCACCATGAACACAACAATATACAACAAGCCTATCACGTAATGGACACCCTCATCCTCCGTCAAGCCTGTGTCTCGAGGGCAGTCGCGTTGGCAGGTGACAGTGGAGAGTCGCTTGAAGTATCTGGAGCAGGCTCTTGGTGACTCAGATGCGAAGCACCAAGAGGAGCCCGTTGTTGAGGAGGAACTGCATGCCCAACAGAAGCACCACCAATATATACTGTATATATACATACGGGAACGTATATTAATGTATACACACGTACATACATGCATGCATGCATGCATGCATGCATACATACACACCATTACATTACATTACACTACATTGAATTTGCATTGCATTGCATTACATTACATTAATACATACATACACACAGACAGACAGACAGACAGACAGACAGACATACATGCAGACAAAGAGACAGACATACAGACAGACATACATACAGACATACATACAGACATACATACAGACATACATACAGACATACATACGGACATACATACATACATACATACATACAGACATACATAGATACATAGATACATAGATACATAGATAGATAGATAGATTGATAGATTGATAGATTGATAGATTGATAGATTGATAGATTGATAGATTGATAGATTGTTAGATTGATAGATAGATAGATAGATACATACATACATACATACATACATACATACATACACGCATACACGCATACACACATACACACATGCATACATGCATGCATGCATGCATGCATGGACACATGCACACATGCACACATGCTTACATGCATACATGCATCAATGCATCAATGCATCATACATACATACATACATACATACATACATACATACATACATACATACATACATACATACATACATACATACATACACCCATACATGCACATATCCATATATCCATCCATACATCCATCCATCCATCCATCCGTCCATCCATCCATACATACATACAGACATACAGACATACAGACATACAGACATACAGACATGCAGACATGCAGACATGCAGACATGCAGACATGCGGACATGCATGCATGCATCAATGCATCAATGCATCAATGCATCACTGCATCAATACATCAATGCATCAATGCATCAATGCATCATACATACATGCATGCATACATGCATACATACATACATACAGACAGACAGACATACATACATACATACATACATACAGACACAGACATGCAGACATGCAGACATACAGACAGACAGAGACACATACATACATCTGGGTAAATTATAACGACCTCACTGCGACCTTACTGGAATCATGGTTAGTAAGGGAAATCATCCCCAAATGGCCTTATTTCAGGTTAGTGAAATATTATAATTTACCCAGATACATACACACATACACGCATACACACACACATACATACATACATGCATGCATACATGCATACATGCACACATGCACACATGCGCACATGCACACATGCACACATGCACACATGCATGCATGCATCAATGCATCAATGCATCAATGCATCATACATACATACGTACGTACGTACATACACACACACATACATACATACGTACGTACGTACATACATACAGACATACAGACATACAGACATACAGACATACAGACATACAGACATACACGCATACACGCATACACGCATACACACATGCATACATGCATACATGCATACATGCATCAATACATCAATGCATCAATGCATCAATGCATCAATGCATCAATGCATCAATGCATCAATGCATCAATGCATCAATGCATCATACATACATACATGCATACATGCATACATGCATACATGCATACATGCATACATGCATATATCCATCCATACATACAGACATACAGACATACAGGCATACAGGCATACAGACATAAAGACATACAGACATACAGACATACAGACATACAGACATACAGACATACAGACATACAGACATACAGACATACAGCCATACAGCCATACAGACATACAGACTTACAGACATACAGACATACAGAGATACAGACATACAGACATACAGACATACAGACATACAGACATACAGACATACAGCCATACAGACATACATACATACATACCTACCTACCTACATACATACATACATACATACATACATACCAGTCCCAACTTCAGATTGCTGTAGAACTGCTGCATTGGGGGATTGTTTTTGAACAGGAGCTAAGCCACGCTCATGCAAAGTTAGAAGCCTTGCATGGAAGACTTGGACACCTGGAGGCGCGAACTGGATGCACCATTTGGATCGCTTTAGCATTGCTTAGCATCACTTGGTCATTCCTTGCGCCAAAGATGTGTGTCCAGCACATGATCAAACTTTGCGCTTGGTCATGTTCCAATTGTCCACAGTTGCTTGCTGACACCTCTCAGGTGAAAGGGGTCGAGCCAGCATGTCTTAGAAAACTGAGAAGGTTGCTGAGCTTGTCGGCATTCGCAAAGCATCTCGGTGTTTGATCGAATAGCTGTGAAATAAGGGACAGTTGGTTTGCCTACTTTTGCCTACTGCATTCTGATACATTCTGATAATCATGATCTAATTTGACAGGAGCTGAAGGCTACATTGGATGAGCTGAAGCATCATTGTGAGAAACAAGGCCAGAGAAGGCATCAATGTGTGGAGCTGGTTTAACCAAGATGAAACAATTGAAAGTTTTGTGGAAAATATACAAAGCCAAGAGGAAACAATAGGAAACCTTGGTCGCGTGCTTTCAGACTGGTTGGGATGATGAAAACGGCACAGGTACTGGTCTGGAATACCTGAAGTCCTCACACGCCAACCTAAGCAGCGACAAGTCCGCCCTGGATTTGCATCATGCCAGGTTGAAGGACAGAGTTGAAAGTTGCAGCGACTAAAGAAATTTCCAAAACACTAGAAAGCAGCAACTCACCCTAGATGACACTAGACTCACCAGAGTGTCAGATGTTTTCTGATGGCGTGGCTTCACCTTCCCACAGTTCCAGCAGCATGCGGACCGAAAGCTCTTCGCAAAAGTTTCGGCAATGCGCCTGGCAATGCAGAGTCTTTTGTCAGCGAACTGAACATTTGCAGTTTGTCCTCATCATGTCGTCCCTTTGATTTGATGGGGCCGCAATATGGGCCCGAGGAGCGTGTGGATTACTTGGAGACCATGATGGTCGACTCTGCAGATCATCACAAGAAGGCCGCTGGGAAGGGCCTACAGTATTTGTTGGCGAATGCAATCTCCATTGCATCCCCAAGTCTTCATTCGCGATTTCAAGAAAGTCCACAGGTCCACCAGTAATAAAAACAAAGAGAAGAGACTCATTGGAAGATGCGGACCAAAACCCAGAATACTACAAAGCCTGCATCTTTGGATATGGCAGTGTGTCAAAACCTTGTACCCCTGGTGAACATCAAAATAGCTGGTAAATGGATGTTCATCCCACTAAAAATGGTATTAATAGGTATTGATCCATACCCATATGAGTTGACTCACTGGCTACGTCTTTTCCACAGCGAGACCAACTCCTTGCAGGTCATCGAAGACCACAAAGCCAACCATGCGAAGCTGGCGAATGAGCTACGTGCGCGCGAGGCGGTGACTGGTTGGCCTTCCTTTCATCCCAAGGCTTTGAAGGAATAAATGGTTCAAAGTAGGAAACCATGGTGAATCCTGGTCCCTTCCATCCTTGGTCCTACTTCATTTCAAGACCATGTCAATGTCATTCAAGCCATGCTTCAAATAAGTTGGGTCAGCCTCATCTCAGCTTAAAAACTGCACCGTTGTTTTTCTTACGCTGTTTCTACCAAAGCTCAGGATAGATTAGCATCATGCAGGATTTTACAAGGAGAATGGCATCGCCTAGGGCGGTACCCCTGGTGTGTCAGTCGACTGAGTCTTCCCCTCGTGTAGGCGAGTCATGCCACCCTGTCCGACCGCATGGGTTACATCGAACAGCGGATGGGGGATTCCTTTGAGAAGCACGCTCAGGCAGGGATGCGATCGGCAGGGAGTCATAGCCCTACAGGTACGCGCAAACCTTTTGCATCCTTTTGAACTCTTCTGGATAGAGAGGAGGCAAGCTGAACGGAACAATTTTTCGGGAGAATACATTACTGGAGATAATTCCAAGTGTAGACTCTCCAGACTCTTTTGAAATCAAGAATTGCCTTAGTCTCCTCAGTTGGGAATCATGCTGAGTCTCCGGGAAGCACTGCTGTGATGATAGGAGCTGGCTGCCGCTGTGGCGAAGATGGATGCTGTGTCCGCAAACCTGGAAGCATTTTTGAGTGGCGAGGGGTATGTAATTGCTTTACAATCATAAACACATTCGAATGAGAACATTTGTGTTTTTGGATGTTTTCGGCACAAAGTCACCAGCGGATTTGCCCTGAAATGAAGTATGAATGATGCGTATTAGTGTTGGTTTGGTTGTGGACGTGGCTACGACGGCTACGACTTGAGGCATGACTGAAATTGTTTGCGATGAAAGGTGGATGTTGAGGATCCAAAATCTGAGGCATGGGAGAGTGTCGGAGGAGCGCGTGGCGCGCGAGGCCGATATCGTCGTCGGATATCGAAGTCTTAGACCAGATTGCGTCGAGGTAACGCTTTCTGCACCTTTCTGCTGTTTCTTACTTTTGAGAAAATGAAAGTAACTCCAATAGTGGACTGAGCAGGTGATAAGGTAAGGTTCGTTCTCCTAACGTGGAGTAGCAGCAATCGTGGTGGTGTGTGTGACGTTCCAGGGAGACCATATATGCTATGCTGCGATAGTAGACTCATGAACAGATTTCCTTACAATGCAAGACACACAACCTGGCGTCCAGAGGACCAGCGGGCAGATCTGATTCAGTGAAGTTGAAAAGCAATGAAGCAGACTGAAACCCATTCAGTTTGACAGCCCTGACTGCCAGGCGCATGTAGCATCGCTTGAAAGCCTGAAGAAAGCTCATGGCAGCCTTGCAAGTCAGGAGTCCAAGAGAGCAACGAGAGAAAACATGAGAAACCACTCCCTGCCTTTGCTCCAAATGCCGGGGAAGTACGACCAGGAAGTACCAACAATATCAACAAATATCAACAACTTTCGGCATCGCATGCAACTTGCCCTCGAGGTGAGAAACAGGCTCTTGAGAAGTGCGACGCTCAGTTCTCGTTCTCCAGATGCCTCAATCTGCTGAAAATGTTGGGCGATGAACGAAGCACGAGGCATCATGCAACCCTGGAAGAGCGACTTGACTACTTGGAGAAGGTCATGGGCGACGGTCATGGCTTTTTTTTGGTCTTTTCCACATTTCCTGAAATTGGCGAAACGAAGGACAACGCACAGTCATGGATTTTGTTGAATCAATATGATAATTCGAATCAGAAACCTGACAGAAGGAAACTAGATCCGTCTCATCAACCATGCACTGCTTGCGAAACGAAGCGACTCATTGTGAGGCACTGGGTGACTCGTCAGACAAACACACTCGTGAGCTTGAAGTGCTAAAAGCTGTCAGGGTTCCCTAGGGCAAGGGCGAGGGGCAAAATGTGGGCGCGCCCCTAGTTTTTCTTTCAATCTACATGTCAGATCCTGTTGGCAATTGGCAAAGGGTACTTATTGCATCTTATTGCGTGTTTCAGTCCGCCAATTTTTCTCGCGACTGATACTCTGGGAACTGATCCATGCAAAGGGAAAAGCATTCCGAGGCACACCAGAAAGTGGCGGCGGAGCACAAAAGCGTCTCAGCAAGCACAATTGTTGTTACTCAGCAAGTGCGGATTTGCCACTGCCAAGCCCAGGCTCTTTGAGTCAAAGGCTATCAGAATTTGGGTCCTCGAATTTCCGATTGAAAATAGTCATACACCAAAGTACTGCCTTCAAAATCCTTGATATATTTGGGGGTTTCCATAAATGAAAAAAAAAACTCAAAAAATGCTTGGTTTAGAATGGGTTCCATCCCAATCTAAAATGGATGATTTAGGGTTACCCATGGCTACCATTTATGGACCCCCCATTTATGGTCCAACTCAACTCCGCAGACACGTCAGGCAAGGAGCAAAGCCATGGCCAAGTGGCCGACCGCCTTACGCAGCTCCAGAGGCGCTTTTTCTTTGTCGTTGTACCGATCCTAGCTGCAGGGGACAGGAAAGGCTACAGAAAAAAAACTAATTGTAGAAAAATAGTCAAACAAATAGTCCACTAATTAGTCCAATCTCGTTTTGACTTTTGTGCGATTCAGAATGGAACTCTGAATTAAGTGATTTGATTTAAGCCTTCTATTTTTCCGCCAGTGTGAATCTGCGTGTGGCCCACACAACGAAAATAAGGTCCTCATGGTTTGTGATGGCAGCTTCCAGTATCACCCTGTCAACCTGTTGATCCAAAAGTCTTCAATGACGATGCTGTTTGTTTGACACATCGTAGATGTCAGCTACTTGAGCGCAGGGAGAAGGAAGATCTTCATGCTCGCCATCTGTCGTGATGGCCTAAGTATTGGACATACGGTACAGGACTCGTGGCATTTCTTTTTCCTCTGTGCTTCTCCGGCGGAGCGCATTCAGAGAATTTGTGGTGAAGAAAGCACTAACTGTGACAAGTCAGCAGGCGAGGCACATTGTGCAAAGAATTCGAGTCTTCACCAATTTTCACATTTTTTGCGCCAATTTTCACCTATAATGACCATTAATAGTGGATTTTCCCATTAAAAATGGTGATTTTCAATAGCTATGTTAAATTACCAGAGGGGATTTCCATGCAATTTCTGTTTCTGCGGATACGTAAAGAGCCCCCGTTTCGCTCAGTTTCCACAGCATGTTTCCACCCGAGGCTTGGGGAACGCGTGGACTACTTGGAGAAGCTCTTGGTGGAGAGTGCTGAAAAACACACACAGGACGACTCCAAATTGAGGGAAGAAGAGGGACCTGTCACATTTCGTGGATTTTTTTTACATCCATCTTGCATCATTTTAAGCATCATCTAAGGCATCATCTTGCTGTTTCAAAGTCACTGGGATTTTAGTAGTGACCTGAGGGCGATAGGGTCTTGTTTGGTCTGTGGCCCCTCCAGGAGATCGAGAAATTCAAGGTGCTTCTGACGGAATCTATCGCGCAAATCTGACGGTTTTTTGATCAGGATTCATCAGCGATTTTTGCCGAGAACTAGACAGGGAAGATGTTTTTAAGCATACCTTGCAGGCAAAACATGCAAAGGATCTCGATGCCAGCGCCAGCAAGATGCAAAGTCACCATGCTGGACTGCAGGAGAGCCGCGTGCCTTGTGCGGCTGGAAATAAGACTTGTTGTAGTCATGGCCTTTTAGAATCTAGCTATGGATATTTGTAGAATTTTGTAGACATCCTCAAGCGATAGGTGATAGGAGCGTCGACGTCACAGATTCAGATGTTTCCAATCTGGTTCCAACCATCCCGAAGGAGAGGCTTAAGCGGCTTGAATATCTCTAAAGCAAGGGCGATTCAGCTGACAAGAATTTAAAGGAAATTTAAGGAATTTAAGGGAATTTTACGGAATTTGAAGTAATTTTAAGGAATGTTAAGGATTTTTAAGGAATTTTACAGAATCTTAAGAAATTTTAATGTTTCCAATTTGGTTCCAACCATCCCGAAGGAGAGGCTTGAGTATCTCGAAAGCAAGATTGGCGATTCAGCTGCCAAGTTCACCAAGGCAACGGTTTCAGAGTTTCAGTATTAGCATCGCCAGCTCTCCTCTGGACAGGTTATCCACACCCAATACTCTGTACGGTACCTTACCAACATATCTCAAAAATGGCAGTTCAACTACCTCGAAGTCAGTTGTCATTGGATTTTGCTTTTTTTTTGCTGCAGCAGAATGCAGCAGACTGCAGCTTGTATCTAATTGTCAATGTATGATCAAGCAGAACTCTGCAACTCCGACTGTTAGGAGCTCAGCAACATGCACGCGAAGATGCAAGAGCTGCCAGATCCACAGAACATGATTTCTTTGGATATCTTTGAATCTGGACTGCCTTGGAAATGTGGACACAATGACAATTGGACCTATAAAATGTATGCGTGAAGGTAGCAGATTTTGAGATGCTCTGAGCCCTTTCATGGCCTCAAAAGTCAATCTCGCGCAAACCACTGTGGATGCTTCAGTGCTATTGGAAGGCATGGAAAGTTGCAAGATGAAAAGAACCATCGAGAGGATTCCGCAAGCATGTCACCTCTGCAAGTGTACAAATGGATCAAATGGTGGAACATGTTACGGTGTGATGGTACCTTTACTACAACTCGGCTTCTCAAGGAAGTCAAGGTTGATGCATAGCTGGCATAGCTCTGTGTTCAGGCCAACACATCACGGCAAACCGACATTTTGTTGCAACGTGTTTCCGCTTCTTTGTGCACTCAAAAAAAAGCATCAAAGAACTAGTGCTTTAAGCACTAGTGATCAAAATTATGTTGATGTTACAATGTATTTAGATACCGGTATGAGTTTCCTTTAGGATTTCAGGGGGGTTAACCCCCCTAAGGAGGGTTGATTTTCTGCCCCAACCTGACCCGGTGAACTCGTACAGGGATGTATTTAGACAATAGTTGTTGATTGACACACATTTAGCGCATGTTGGACGATGCTGGTCCCCAGGAGAAGCTTCTTCACATTACAGGGCACATACGAGATCAAGTTTCGGGAGAGTACCTTGGAATGGGATAGTGTTGCTCCATGTTGCTCCTTTGTATAGGGAATGTACTGACTGCACTTTATTCTGAAGCCAGAAACGTCTCAGAGAAGTGTTTCGAAAGAGATCCGCAAAGCTGTTGGAATTGCACGGTGGCGGACACTGTGATACTACTCTTAAGAGCTCTAAGATTGCGGACATTGACATCGAGGTAGTAGATATAGCAGGCTACTCTTTGTTGACATTTTAATAGTTCAAATGTACTAAAGACATCTAAAGACACTGACAGATTTGTGCCTTTGAATCTAGAAAATCCAAGGCAAAAGACTCGTGAAGAGCAACATGCTTCAATTGAGGAGATCTTGGCCACCTCCATTTAAGCTGCTGAAAGATCGTTTTGCACTGCAAGCAGTTTTTGAAATGTGTTCATGCCTATTGAGGTCTCAGTCACTGAGCTTTGCAACAATCTAATTTGGGCATTGTTTGTGGCCCTTTGGGATTATTTTGCTGGGAATGCTACGTCACATTGACATTCCACATGCTTTGTGGTACCAAAAGCTTTTACGACAGCGGGGCAGGAGCAAGTGAAGTTTCTCGAATCAGTCATCGGAGACAATGCAGCTGCTTGGTGATTTGGGAACAAGCGGCGGCATGGTCTAAATAAAAAGCAACGACCGATACATCAA